TTCATTTTGTTCCATATACTGAAGCATTTCTTTTTCATTAGGATTCAAAATAGTAGCCAATGTTGTGGTGTATGAGTTTATAAATGAAAATATAAAAAAGTTTAGGTAGTGCATAATTGTTAAATAAATTTTAAAACCAAATAAAGAAAAAAGCCGATACTTGTTGTTTTTATAAAATAATGCGAGTAGATAAACTATGACGTGGAATTAGTTTTTCAAAAAATCATAAATTGTAATAACTGTCGTTGTTGACTTCAATAAGAAAAAAATTTTTTTACTATAATATTCTTATGAAAAATTTTAATTATAACTTATTACCTGAAATAATGTACATTATTTTTATATTTCAAATTATATTATACTAAAGTAAAATTATCTTATTTTTAAAAATTTTATTAAAATTTATTAGGTTAATATAGTTAATTTGATAAGACATTAGGAAAAAAATTTACTAACCGTTGCACGACTATTAGAGTAGGAACAATAATAGATACACTATTACCAATTTTGATATAAATTGTATAAGTAGATTGAATCATAAATTATTATTCTACGAATTACGTTTTTTTAAAAAAAAAAAAATAGAAAAATACATAGTTATTTCATTATTAGTCACTTCGTGATCTCATTATTACAATTTATAATATATTATATAATATAACATTTGAACAATTATTGATATTTTTAATATGAACATGTAAAGAATAAAATAATTATGTCATATACTAATAAAAACAGATAACACGACAAAAAGATTTCCTTCAATTTGATTACTTTATGTTTTCAATGAAATTTTACATTCTGACCTTAAAATTCCTAAAATCACTATAGAAAATAAATTAAACTATATGCATACCTACCTAAAATTCCAAAACCTCAAAAATCCATTAATATTTAACCAATTCAAAAAACATATTTCCGACTGCCTAACCAGGTGTTTAAAATTTCACTGAGGTAGAAACCTATTAACATGTAATAAAATAATATACTAAAAAACAAAAACAATTGTTTCATAACTAGATGTTATACTACTGGTTAATTATTTTCATTAAAATGTATATATCATATTTAATTTTAGCACATATACTAATATATTACATTACTAATTGGTTAAATATTAACAGGTTGTGTTAAAAAAAAAAAAAAAAATCATTATACATTGTATTGTTTTGAATAACTTTGAAATTTATTTGATTTTAGTTAGAAAATTTCTAAACATTTGAATGCAAATAAAATTTTACTTATAAAAAATGTTTACATAAATAAAAATAAACTTATCCAGAAAAATACTCTAACGGGACCATACTAAAATCTTTACAGCCCATATGGGTTAAATTGGATTTTTCTCAGATTTTTAGACACTTCCTTTTAATACTTAATAGATATTGTTTCCTAAAAATTATATTTTTATTTTAGTTTTTTTTTTGTTTAAATAAAAATTTTTCAACAGTCTACGTCTGAACTTATTTACATATTTTTTACTGTAATATTACTAAGAGAAGATTTAATATTTATAATTCATTGACATTTTTCTGTTCTGAAAATTAAATTTATCAATTCTATAAATTTAACTAATATATTCTGCTTTGAGGAGAGGATCATTAAATTTGATTTTTATCCTTTGATTAAAAACGAAAATATTTGCCTTAAAATATTCTCACCTCGAAAAAATGAATTTTTCATATGAATTCTTTAAACTAATTAAGCACTATCAATAATTAAAATTAGTATCGCAATAAATAATACATTAAATGATATCAGTCAAATCTTGTCATTGATGATGAGTAAATTTATACATTTACTAATCAAATGAAAAAGAAAGTCATATAAATCAATAAATTAAACTAATATATACATGGGTCCTTTTGTAGATCATTAATAATATGCCAGTCAAATTTTTATGTTCTATTAGTGTGCTGTAATAATAATTAAATCCATTTAAGTATTTCATAACTACTGTAATCAGCTTATGTATCTCAGTTTGTCTAAACCGTTATTGGTTTGCGCTTGTCATAATTCTATTTACCATATCAATATTAATATCGACTGCTGGAGGGTATGTATTTGTATCCACCACTTTGAACGAATCGTATTTTAGCATTCTAAATGAGTAAAATAAAAATATCTAATTCGAATTATTGCATTCTGTTATTATTATTTCTTATAATTTACTAACGACTATAAAGAGTGAATACTGTTTCATAATATAAAAAATCACTATAGTTATTCCTTATCTATGCATTACGAAATACACTTGAAAATATAAGAACTTATAGTTATATATTTTTTGCAACCAAATGATTCTTGGCTGAGTAACTATAATAAAAAATAAATTATTACAATGTATTATTATTATTCATTAAATAATATCAACTATACCTTTAACTACCATCAACTTTTGTTTTTCAAAAGACAAACCTATTTCATTTTATAAAAAAAAAAAATTTTCTTAATTTTTTTTTTTTTATTCAAATTTTAGTGAGTTACAAGTTTTTTAAATTTAAGCAATATGATAAAATAAACATTTATTTATACAAGGTGTAAACGCTGTAAATCGGAAACATACCTCAACATGGTTTAGTGTATTGCTAAGAACCGTTAGTTCGCGCATTGAAATAAATGCCTGTTTTATTCAGTGAAATCATAAACAAATGATTAGCTTATATATTTAAAAATATATTTCGTGAAGCGTATTTAAAGAATTTACCAGTTTGTGTAAATTAAATTTTAAAAACAATTTTTGTGATGTATATTTTTTCCTATATTTTTTTTTGAAATACAAAGAAAAATATATTTTTTCTTCTATTATTCAAAAATACTGTATAACTTGTTTAATGTTGCTCTATCTATTATTTACAATAGACAAAGTTTAAAAAGCAACACGTGCGATATTCTTAAATTAAAAAAAAATATATTTTTTTGTCTTTCTAAAAAATGAAACGTATGTCAGTTACGCCTAAATCATAGTTAGGCTAGTTATTGAATTTTCAGAAAACCATTTAATACCTGTACAGATATGATTCCAATAAATTTTTCACTTTTTATAGATTAAAAAATTTTAATATTATATAATCACATGAAAAAAAGTCTAATTAAAGAAATCAGCTAGACTTTCATCTAGTATATGGTGTTATTATTCATAGGGACATTATCTTTTTATGGCGTGTAAAAGTATTTCGTAACGATTTGTAGATTTCAATCTCTAAGTTATTTATTAGTCACATTAGCTTCTATTGTAAACATATTATTTTGTATAAATGATTGTTTATATATTTTTAGTGCGTGGTCTTTTACTTTTCCATATATATTGAATACGTAATTAAGATATATATTAAAAACATAAATGTTGAACAACATATTCATTAACAGATTATCTAATTTAGCGATATTAAAAAATTATAAATCAAAAAGTGAAATATCTATAAATATATATTTTTAACATTATTGTTTAGTTTAACAGCGATAATTATAAAACTATAAACTAAAGATTTTTATTTTAATTTTTATTTATGATCTTAAAATAGCACAAGTGAGACTTTAGATAATTATTCAACTATTTTCGTTCAGATTATTAAAACTAACAAAATAATACTATCAATTTTATTCCGCCATAATTTATAAGTAAAATTATGTTTTAAATAACATTTTCTTAAACAATCATATCACATTAAAAGAAACATTAAATTCTGTATTATTATCGTAAACTTGAAATTAAATAATCGATATGTTCAATATAAAGTAGCTGTATAAAAATGTTAGAATAAAAGAAACATATACATTTATTTTATGATCGTTTTCAAACGTAAGATTTAAACCATTTGAATTTTTTTTTTATAAAAATAGCTACCTACTTTATTATTACATAATATATTTTAACCTTTTAAGTCTGAATCTATAATTTGATAAGACAGAAAGTAAAAATATAGTCTTGTGAATAAGATTATTCAACAAATATTTTAGTATTCATTATATAAAAAATTGGGAGTACCTAAAAACTAAACTTGTTATTATTTACTTTATGCTGGTTTACTGGTCTATAAATTGGAATATTGCTGCAACAATATTAATATTAATACATTAAAACAGGAAAATATGCGTGTTATAAACAAGTTGATTTTGTATGTTTTGAGATTCTATAAAAAAAGTTTTTGGTGTAATTTCAATATTCTTATTTTTTAATTTTATTTTTTATTCAATTAAAAACTATTCGCATAATTTTAATTTTAGATTAATCATAAAAATAAATCAAATCCTTTATTTATAAGTAGAGACATTTCTATATTGTAATTAATTCTTTATTTCTTTATGCCAATTGTTTAAAAGTTTAATTAATTTTATTGTCTAAAATAGGACAAAAACAAATTCTGCCAAAATTATAATTTTATCTATACCCACGTCAATAATACTAATATTTCTAATTTATTGATGTAATCATTAAGTGATTCATTTTGTTATTTGTTTTGTTGCAAGTCCCTAATTTATCTTTATCTGATTGATTTTTGCTACGAAAGATCCTTTTGCGTTGTCACATAAATTAACTTAGTTTCTCTTATGTATATTAATTCTATTATTTTTTTCCAATGATATTAATTTTTATTGTACTTTGTACTATTGTAAAATTGAGCTTGTCCCATAATAAGTATAAAATATATTTATAATAATTTGAGAACCTTTTTTTTGGATTTGAGTAAAAATGCAAAATAATTTTTTCATTTAATTTTTCACCACTGTGAAAATACAACCTAAATGTGTTGAGAATTTTAACTAATATAATAATTTTTTAAAATTATATTTGGCAATTTTCAAATTTTAAACAGCGTTATATTACTGAATATAGTTTCATCGTGTTATGTTATTTTCCCAATAAATATAAAAATATACACATTTATATATATATTTATATTGTACATTAAATTACGCTCATAATCAATATTGTAAAAGAATAGAATATTAAAAGTTGGAGGTAAGGCTGTAAAATTAAGAATGAAAGAAGTCTGTGATTAATAAAATACGTAAATTTTTATATTTACAAAATAAATACACGTATATTATTAAATAATGGCAAGGTAAAAAACTTTTGAGATGAAATAGAAGAAGATGACTGGCGGTCTTATTGCTGTTGAGTAATCGACCAATAGGAAGAAAAGAAATATCAATGTTTGAACTTAGTAAGTTTTGTATGCTGGTGCTGGGTAAGCAAGTGCTGGGTAAGCTGGTGCTGGGTAAGCTGGAGCGGCGTAAGTGGGTTTGTATGCTGGAGCACTGTAAGCTTGTCCTCCGATTTTCTTGACTTCGGCGTTGAATCCGTAGGAGTCAGCGGTGTATTCAACAACACGAGTGGTTCCATCAGATTCCAACAAGCTGTAAGATCCTTTTACATTACCGTTTCCGTCGGAGTATTCGTGTTGGCTTTTGACATCATAGGTATGTGGGTCGTTGACGCTGTATTCGAAGCTGTATGGTCTTGGTGGGTAAGCTGGTTCTGGTGCATAAGCCTTGACAGCTGGGTAAGCTGGGACAGAGTATGCTGGTGCTGGGTAAGCTGGGGCGGCGTATTGGGAAAGAGCAGAAGCTACGCAAGCAGCGAAGATGATCAACTAAATATACAAAAACAAATAAATAGTTACTTTTTCAGAAAACTTAATAATTCAAAGATAGTTCGATAGATAGTTTAAAAGAGTAAAGAATTCAACACGGATCAATAGTTGATTATTTTCAGCAGTTAAGTAAAAAGTAAAAGTAAAGTATTAAGATTAATTTCATCGGTATAAACAATGATAAGAATTAGTTTTTTTTTAACTATCAAAACTCGAGAAAAAATATTTTAAAATATCACATACCTTTGCAGCCATTTTTTGTGGGGAATTTTGATATCAAATGATACGAACCAAAAAGTTATTGAAAGACTGGTGATTCTGAACGATGTGATGGCGGTATTTATGCTGAAAGATTTGAGTCAACACAATCTACTCCAGATCACTGCCACCACCAAGTTGATCCCTCCCTGGTACTTTCGACAATATATTGTATATTAATAATGGTTCGAACCGGTTATGCAGTGCAATTCTTTTTATTAAACGAGGTAATTATCGCACAAATCACAATAAAAAATCATGTCATTCAAACCCACGTGCCTATGGCTTTTATGCTCGTATTAAAGATTATCGAATAAGAAAACTAATTATAAGGGGTTACCTCGAATTTCAATCTAGTTGTCCTTAAAATATTTTATTTTCATGCTTAAAACTTTATTCTGTATTTAATAGGTTTAAATTGGACTATAGCAAAAATGTAAATAAAAATATTCAGCATAATCCTTAAAGTAGATTAATTATGAAATTGAAGATAACACAAGTTATAGTATAAAAAATAACGTGTTTTCTCTGTATATATTTAACTCATAATAATTCATTATTCTATCTGTTGGAAATTCGGTCAGTGAATAATTAATTTATAGTGGTATCGTTATATAAATATTTGAGAAACGATTGGGGAACAAGAAGATGTAAATAATGCATTATAGTTTCACACATTTATTCAATATTATGAGCTAGATAATTATTTGAAAAAATCTAGATTTGATAAAATATCATGTTTTTTTTATACAGAAATACTTGCAAATGTTTAAAATGTAAATAAATTAGGATTGAAATTTTATTGAAAAACGAAGCTTAAGATTGTTCTTATTTAATTATTGATTATTATTCATGTATGCATTTTTTAAAATCAATTTTATTCTTTTTTTTATTCAGTTATTATAATTTAGATACTGTTATGATACTATGTTAATGTTTGTTTTTTCGTCATTATTTGAAAAAAAAACATTTTGTAGGCGTCGGCCGTAGAGTTCGCTCTAAAAAAGATTGAAAGCAGCCTTGCTGATGGACACTCCACAGGTTATGTTACTTGAGCTATATGCGTAACTAGACCAAAGACTTTAAAGGTTCTAAAAAGGTGTATGACTCATAGACCTGTCGGGGACATTATAATATTGACAACATTTAAAAAAAAATAAATACAACATAAATTATATTAATATGTGTACGACTAAAACAATAAATGTGTTTTAATTTTTTTGGAGGTGTTAAAGTCCTCCTAGCACTCCCGAGCTTCGTCTTATGTTTTGAGCTTTTGCCTCAATATCTTCTTCTTCTTATTTTTTTTTCAATATTTTAGTATTCTTAAGAAAATAAGATACTATAATATTTTATAATATTACGGGCACTTATAAATGTACACAAAGCCACCAGATAGTATTGGATTAAATTGTATAGAGGTCCTAAAATCTTTTTTTATGTATTTTAGAACTTCTATAAGTAATAAAAAGTATGTAATTTATAACAGAATTTGTTTTATAGTCATTATATGCAATTAACATCACCGTAAAGTAAGTAGAATTTTTAAAGACAGAAAAATTGTTTAGTTGCTTGTTTTATTTAACATATCTTATATTTTTCAAAAAAAAAAAAAACCTACAGTTATATGTTCGGGATAAATAATTCTTTTTCGAGAATGACGAATTTATTACTTTCATAAGCGTTAGTTATGTCTATATCTAATTGTTAGTGATAACATTGATTTTTTTTATGAAAATGGTTGAAGAGAAGATATATTTATTCATATGCAAAATACATAATTTTCGTATTTATCAGAATTTAGTATTGGTGATATTTAATGTAAGGTTTGGTTTCTAGGCTAAAATAATTACTTAACATATACAGTGTGCTTATTAATAACTATTTTCATGTAATGAGTTCCTTTGTTTTAAAAATAAATTTAAATAAATACCATCTACTTACAAAAGCGGATGTTTAATGAAATCTATTCCGGGCTATGAGTTTAAAAACAATATTATAATTTTATCAGTTGCTTTTAGCTGTCTTAGGTTGAAAAAATCGTAAGATAGTGTTTGTTTTAGATTCAGGTGCTTCACAAATATATAGCTTTAAAATCGAAGGAAAATTTATGGACGATATATGTAAAACTAAGGTAATTTATTATATTTAAGTGTTTAGCCTGCGTACAATATAAAAGTCATTAATAAATTAAGAATTGGAATAAGGTGATTGTAAGAGGGTAAATGTATTCTTCGTCCTTAGAAATATTTTTTAAGTGTATATTAAATATTTTTTAATTGAAATTAATAAAAGCCTCTCTCTCTCTTTTAGGTTCCTTGGACACGACCTACGAAAGTGGTCTAGACATTAGTCATAAGAGTTAATCATAACTAACCCTTTTCTTAATTTGGCTAGTAAATTATTAAATAACTGCTGGTGCTAAAAAATCTAATCTTTTTCCTAATCTGCACTTATAATCTCAATTATTACGAATAAGATAATTATTTTTAATCATATTTATAAATAAAATAATTATTATGACTTAAGTGTTAGTATACCTCTAGCTCACTATTTAAAATTCAATCTAGTCTTCCCTCCATTGGTTAAATAAAAATTCTTAGTAAACAAAATTAGTGGAACCAACATTTTTTCAAAAATGCATTTCTAAGTCTGCTAACTTAGTAGTTATTTTAGTAGTTTATGCAAACATACAAAAAAAAAAAAAATGTATATTGGATGCTTATGTTTTGATAAGAACTTAATCAGAAATTAACAACAGATACAGTATTGCAACTGTACTGACAGTTCTGGCACAGTAACAGCTAGCAGTACTGGACAAAAACTGGCATTTAACTGACATAATAACGCTTTTTTGTAGTGATACATTACTACTGGAGATTTTTTTATAACCAGTATTATACCAGTACTCTGCCAGCAATAGCAACCAAGTACTGACTTGGATTGACTACTGAATTGGATAAGTACCTAGACAAGACGCCAGTTAATACAAAACTCTAGTATGGGCTAGCCAATGGCCAGTTGCCAGTACTGGTGCAATACTTCGCCCGTTGTCAATACTAGTACTTAAAAAAAATTTCTGCTTGGGTAACACATTGTGCAACAAATTAACATAGTTAATATTATTAACTATGTTAATTTGATAATATAAAAAGTATATTATACTTTTTACAAAAAAACTTGTGTAGTACTTTATATTTATGATTTGTATATGTTTTTCTAATGAGTTCTAAAAGTAAGCTTTTATTGTTACTACTAGTATTAGTTAAAATATTTTTTTCATAATCATATTAAATAAAAGTTATTTTTATAAAAATTTATACATTTTTATTATATTTAAGAATTGTTTTTTTTTAAATTTTATAAATATTTTTTACAAACTAATACCTCTCAATGAATTGGATCGAAAATCATGATTTTAATCAATTTTTAAATAAGATACTTAAATAGTTAAATATTTAAATTTTGAAACTAAATATATAAATAAATTGAGAATATTCTTTTTACATGTAGGATTTAAAATAAGGCTTAAAATCTTTCTAAATAAATAAAATTTTTTTACCAATATCATTTAATTAAATTTTTAAATATGATAAAATCTAGTGCTTAATTTATTTTAGTGTTTAAAATTATAACACAATCTATTATTATACTAAAATTTCATCATAAAATATGATTGTAGCATCCTAAATTTTAGTTTAAATCAATAGTGTTACAAGATATAACTTATTTAAATTAGGACAGAGAAAGTATAATTTAATGATCTTGAAAACTATTAGGTGATGCAAATACGCTTGATGTTAAATTAAAATAAGAAAAATGTATTGTTATATAAACTTAAATTTATAAAATTCTATTTATGTGACACAATTGAAATGCAATTTTTTTTTAATTATTATACTTAAGTTCTAACGTTCTTTCGATATTTGTCATGAAATATGTATGCATAAATATATTATTCATAACTAATTTAAAAAAGTTCAAATTATGCTAAAGATTAAACAGCTTTTGGGCTATTAACGTTTCATAGGCACTAAATAAAGACCACTCTGCTAAAAATTTGTAAGGAGATATTTTCTGTATCAAATTTTGTTTACAATATTTTTGATGTTTGTTTATGTGCATTTTCTCATACATTTATCTTATTCGTTTAAATATTGTAATCAAAAAGTATAAAATCTGTAGGTGATTTAAATTTAGATTTCTTAATTTTAGTATATTACAATCTTATAGAAAATAATATACAAAATTCTTTTAACCTTAATTTCAACCTTGTAGGAAGGAAATGACTTAGTTGCTAGAATATAGCCATAAGCAATGTTCTCCATCCATAAAAAAATGTATCATAAGGACATGTAAAATAATTATTTAAATATATTTATACTACAAATTATGAAAAATCTGCCCTCGGAAATAAAGAAATATGTAATAAGTCTTTCACACCTTCGATGCACTGCCCTTGAAAAAAAAACTCTATGTATAAAAAAAAAAGTCACTAAGTGACATATATGCTTGGTACTTTATTTTTTAACAATCACAAATAATTTCAAGACACTTTTTATTTTACTTTTATTATTCATTTATCAGACAAACATTATAATGTCATAAAATATACACACTTATGATACTCTTTAAAAAACGTATAATTAACATTATTTTTACAATTGAACCATGGTACATTTGTGGAAGTTATCAAATTATAGGAAACCTTTTAACTATCATAACTATACTGTTCAAAATTAAACACCAAAACAACGCTTACTTCATTTAGCCTTTATTACCACTAGGCATCATATATTATGAGTTAATTATATAATATAATATAATATTGAAATAATTATCTATTTTATAAGCTAAAATAACGTACACTATAAAAATAATTTCGTATTCAGAAAACTTTTTTGGAGGTGGCTATTTACTAAATATAAACAAGTCGCGAATTTATTATTAAAACTCTAAATTTTAGAACAGAATACCTAAAATAAAAGATCACAATTCGTTTAATTAATATATTACAGTTATTTTGAAACTAGAAAATAAATAACTGTTATTCTTTTTACAATAACTTTCACAACTTTTACGAAGTAATTTTATAAGACTCTTAAAAACTGAACGAGAACACACTGATTGTTTTGAATATCGTTAACATAATATTTATAAATTAAAGGTTTGTCGAATATTTCATTCCTCCCAAGTAGAGAAATGCTTTGGTATCTGTACAAAACCGGTTAATATAATGCACATTGAATATTTTGTATTGTTATTTAATTTCTTAAACGCGTTCTATAAAAAACGGGGATAGACTAAAACACATATACGCCTTGTTTGGTTAGCGACATTAAGTTAAATGCACCACACCCTTTATGCATTACACAATTTTATTTTTTTTACTCAAAAAATGTATAACGTAAACCAATTTATTGATTTAAAAATTAAGCTTTTAATTAATAAAATGAATTAAACACGATAATTGAAACAATTTATGTTATGTTTGGTGCGAAATTAAGAAATCTATGTTTTTATCGTGATAATTGTTTATTTTTTAAATTGTATTTAATATCAGACATTATTCCTGAAAATTTAAAAAAAATTTCAAGTTTTCTGTAAATGGAAAACTCTACAAAAAATTACAATTGATGAATTTGGTAATTTTTATCACATTTCTGTAATGTTGACTTATATTAGTATAAAAACATTATTTATCTTTATAACTGTAATATTGTATTGGAAAACTTGTATTATTTAAATTTATATTTAATTAAAATATATTTTAATTAATTAATAAATAAAATTAATAATGTAAGCTAATTTGTTGATTTAAAAATTAAATTTTTAACAAATAGTATGAATTAAACAATTTATGTTATGTTTGCTAAGTTGAGAAGGCTAAGTTTTTATCAAGATATTTATCATCATGTTTATTTGCTTTTGGAGTGATTATGCTCAATTATTAGAGTTCACAAACCGTAGTTAGTTGCAGACTAGCTAAAAATGGTGTGCAATTGAAAAATTTCACAAAAAATTACTTCTGTTAAATTTGTTTATTTTCACTATATTTTTACTTTTTTGGATTTATATTAAAATTTCACTTTATCGACTTAACTTTTGAAATGGAATCGTATATCTTGTATCCTTTAAACATATATTAAATAAAAGCTCATGTCACCTATTTAAAGTTAAATTAAAAAAAGAAAAATTGAGTGGTTAGTAATAAGAAAATGACCCTATTTATATAAAAAGCGGTAGCACAGTGGGGTCGCGGTTCAGTATGAACTTGGCATAGTTGGGACAAGTATAAATCTGTAGATAGTGTTTAATTCTAAAAAAATGGTTGATAATTAAAAAAACATCAACTATTTCCTTAATTATATCCTGATTAATAATTCTTAAATTCAAAAATATATAATATAATTCTACAAAAATACTTTAAAAATATTAGAAATTAGTAATGATTTTAATTGTTTTTATGGAGCAGCTTTCTCCATACAAAGTTTAGATATTTTTTATTTGATTAAGGGATTTTTTTTTCAATCTATGAGGGTAATGTCTTCAACTAAATACAAATTATAATCATTTGACGTATCGTTAAAAAAAGTAGTTCAAGTGAGGGTTGGTAAAATAAATCACACACACAAAAAGAAACCACATAATAAAATAACCATAACATGAATAAGAAATTTTTTCTCACGAGGAGAGACTACAGGGATGGAATCCTTGCTATTTATTAAATCTAAATGATATAAAAATCAAATGAGTTGAACATTTTTTTCTAATTCAAAAAGAATTAAGGAAAAAATGCAAAAAATTAATTGTTACAAGCGGATTTGAACCTTGTTCCTTTAGTTTCAAAGGAACGTTTCAAGTAATCCTGTTCAGCAACTGTTGGTCGTTTTACACGGATGATAAAATTGACAATTTAAGTTAATTCAAATTTTAAATTTACCTTTTTCGACATAACAAAAGCAAAAAAATTAAATAAGTTTAACTTTATATTACATTTTAATTAAATATTCACGATAGTCAATGTATTCCCTTAGTAAGATATTTTAAAATAAAATAAAAGGTAAAACCCAGAATTTTAGAAATAGCATATTTTTTAATGTTGTAGCCTTATTTACCATATACTTTCCATGTATTTATTATATATAATAAAGGCTTTCATTTAAAATTAAATAAAAGTGTCAATATTTTCAAAAATTAAATTGAAAAAGCTTAACTTGTGTGCAAAAATTGCGTTTTTTAAACCGCCAGTGGGATTAGGTTTAGAGACAGAAATTCAAAAAATTTATATCAAATAAAAGAAAAATATCTAAAGTTTCAAAATAAAAAGAATTATTTTAATTTGTTCATTTTTTTAAATATTATGGCAGTTTTAAGTATTAAAATATTTCATGTTAAACTGTTCAAATTTTTACATAAAAATTACATTTTTCGTTAAATTAGACAGCCATTTTCTCACAGAAGAAAAGGTGTCGGGACAAATTTTTTTTTTTTAATTATAGTACTTACTGTAAGCTTTAATTTGACATATATTTAAAGCTCAGAATATTTCGGAACATTTTCAAAAGTTAAGTTGAAAAAGATTTACTTTTTTTCGTAGGTTTCAAGTTTTGAACGCCCTCTGTAAAAGGGGAAATTGTCCAATTTAAATAAAATGCATGTTATGTAAAAGAAGTATTCATAATATATTTAGAAAAAAAAATTTGTGTTAATACACAAATGATACTTTCCGAAAAGTTATAGCAATTTAAAGTTAAAAATATAAACTAGATACGATTTGTGATATTTTGATATATCGTTGAAAGAAATCGGTTCAGTGAGAGATGAGAAAAAGTGGCAACAGACACCAAAAAAAAAACACATTATGGTAAAATTAATTCCTTTTCAGCTTCAAACAATGCTAAAAATCATTGTTATAGAGATTTAAAAATATTATTTCAGTTATATTATTTTTTATTTCTGGAATTCTTTTAAATGATAGTTTCTCATTTGAAATCAGTTTAAATTTATAAATGTTTAAATATAATGTGATTATATGAAAAAAAAGTTATATTTATATTTAAAATTGTACAAAAAAAATCAAATTTTTGATGAGGAATTAAATAACAATAATATCATGCCTAATTTTTTTAATTAAAATTTATTATAATTAAAAAGTCAAATTTAATGATTATATTTATGAAATAAATAAATATGTATATAGAACTATTCGTTCGCATTTATACGTTTAATTAAGTAGTTTTTGTTGATTTTATAAATTTACATGTTCAATAATTTAAACCTTCATTATAACGACCTACATTATATTTATTTATTTGTTTTTGATTTTAATATATTTAAAATTATTTTGTTTATGTAATGTGTCATGTACTTGTTTGACAAAATAAGTTATTTGTTTTATTAAATTAAATATAAAATTTTATTTTATTTTCGATTATTTTCAAATAACTTTCTAAACGTATCTAATTGTTTCATTAAGTCTAATGAAATTAATTTAACTAAATCCCATAACATTATTCTTATTTGTACATTGTTCCACTATATCATATTTACTGACATACAAATGGGAAGAAAAACTTATTATTGAGAAAGTTTGGCAAAATATATTGAGGAAGGTTTTAATCATCGCATTATTTTTTTAATACTAGACAGTTTATGAGATTAACATCTTATAACAAATGATATAATATGAATACAATTAAGTACTCTAAATAAAAATGTATACAGTTTGGTTGGGTTTATATTCTAGGTTCATCTAAATAATTTTTTACTTTATTTTAATATTACTTTTATTATAAAACTGACTAATAAAATATTTACTTTACAATTTTTTTGTTGAATAGTATTATTCTCTATTAGTAGAGTAAATAAATATAAAAATCAAATAGTAGTTTGAAAAAATACATTTAAAAGTAGAAAACACTGTAAAAATTAAAAAATATATATATTTAATTATTATAAAAATAAACTTTAACGGTTAATATTGTATTCATAAAACAAATAAAGAAATATTACAAAAATTAATCAACTTTAGGCAGTCACTTTTCTTCAGAATACTTATTAAAAGGGCTTATAGGGTGATTTTGCTTTAAATGCATATATAGGTTCATGTTGGTAAGATTCTTCGTCGTGGTGATAAGAAGGACCGATTTTCTTTACTTTAGCTTGGAATCCATTGATAGGGTCAGCTGTGTATTCAACTATTCTAGTGGAACCATCTGCATCGAGTAGGCTGTACGATCCTTTGACATTTCCGTGTCCATCGCTGGTTTCATGTTGACTTTTTATATCATTAGTGTGAGGATCCTTCACACCATATGAAAAATGATAAGGGGTTTGAGCATGTTCTTCGTGGTAATCATTTACATTATTGTAATCCAATTTGTACGACGCTGTAATTTGAGTAACTATGACGAAAATTGTAGCTAATGTAATGAGCTGAAAATGTTCAGTCTTATTAGAAAAAAAAAAATTGTTGTAAGTCTATAATTCGATGATGTTCGAGAAGAAAATTTTAAGTCTATCGTAGAAAATTTTGCTCTTATATGATTGAAAATTTTAACTCTAAACAATTTATATTTAATAGCACCAATAACATGTAAGTTAACCGAAATAAGACAACAGTCTTTAATCAAATAATATCACGGCGATACATAATTATTCTATTGTAGTAATTTGTAAAATAAAAAATTAAATTAAAAAATTATTATTTGAACCACTTTTTTTCGCAATTTTTGATTTACACATACTTAAATAATTCTATATATAACTTTAATAAAATTCACATAAAAAGTTATGATACATAGAACTTTATACGAGGTGCTTCTGGTATAACTCACATTGCTTATAAATTTTGATCCAATTATAATTTTATTGTAATTTTTTTCAAATAACTAATGTATTTTTAGACTACGCTTAAGATGGGTTGATAACAATTTTAAAACAAGTATTTATTATTAAGAATTTTAATACATAAAGTGGGTATGGAATGTGAGCGAAGTATATGTACTTCATTATTATGTATCAAAATGCTTACTGAATAATTACACTTCCTAAAATTAGGGCTTGAAACGGAAATGATTTCGCTTTTCAAACATTTTTACCATACCTAGTAAGTAAATAATTCTAGAAATCATATATTATGTAATCGCTTTTGAAACCTTACCTTACCTAAAATCTGACCTCATGTTAAAAAACTTATTTTTAACATATATTTTTTTTCGGTTTTTAAACTTTTTTAGAATCAAATATTTATGTGATTAGGTTTTTAAGAAGATTTCATAATATTTTTGGCTTCTGTTATTATTTATTTAATATACACTAAAAAAAAAAACCTAACACAGGGAATTTTTTGTTTTCACAATGAAAACAAAATAAAGTCCGAAATTTTTTTTCCATATAAAGTATATTAAATAAGCTTTAATTTAAGATATATATAAAAGTGTCAGTATTTCCGGAACAATTTTAGAAATTAAATTGAAAAAGTTCAACTTTTTATATCCATTTTTAAGTTTTGAACCCCCCTCTCCTATATTAAGGGAAATGGTCCGATATAAAAAAAAATTACGTCGAATGAAAGAGGTATATAAATATTATTTCTTATATAAAAGTTTTATTAATTTAATTTAAGTAAAAAAAATTGAAAAAATTTCGAAAATTATCGATTTTTAAATTTGTAATTTTTTTGGAGATTTCCTCCATTTACGGGGAACGAGGTAATTTTTTTTTAATTTTTGAGGGTAATGTCTTCGATTAGATACGATTTGTGATCTTTTGACATATCGTTGAACGAAATCGATTTGGTGAGAGCTGAGAAAAAGTGGGAACAGACACAAAAAAATAAATAAATAAAATAAAACACATCATAGTAAAATTATTACCTTCTCAGCTTCGCATTGAAGCTAAAATTCGATGTAACTAGTTTACTAGTTATAAGAAAAATTTCCAAAAACAAAATTATTTCCATTTTGAAATTATTATCGACCCATAAAAATTTTTTTTAAGAAAAAAATAGCCATTTTGAAATTATAAATATATTTTTTTTCAACGAAAGATAATTGAATCAAAAGTTTTTAGCGTTGTAAGTTAAATCTGAGACACCGTTTATAAAACACAATATACAACTTACCTTGACAGACATTTTAAGAATAACTCAATTTTTTTGTAGGTTTGAAAATCAACACAAAACTGATGCCTGGAAATGTTATTGTGCCAGTATATATTTATCTAGAATCCCTTCCATACTATTGTTTTTTAGATATGTTTCTAAAAGAGCACCTCATTGCGTCTACTAATTAAAAACAGTGTTACGAAAACTTACAATTACACACAACATAATGTACTTCGAGTCACGCTGACATGATTTTTATTTCGTTAAGAATAAAAATATCATGCATTAGTTTTTAAAGAAAATATTCTATTACTCTAGTTGTACTTTATTTGACACGCACGTGGATATAATAATAACATAGTGCTTATTTCCTAATTACTAATAGGTAATATTATTTTCATACATAACTCATATACGGTGTTAGCTAACTAAATGCATTTCACATATAACATTTTTTTTAAATTTGATTTTAAATTTTAAATTATACATTTTATAATTTACAGTTGTGATGGAATGACACAGCGAAAGGGCATAATCTTCTTAAATATTTAATCAGCTTCCAAAAATTTAAAAAGTCTTATGCATTTTTTGAGTCCTAGAAAAATTTCGCCATTGATTAATAGTATATATTTAACAGATCCGACGACGATTTACCCACTACAAATAATACATAATTTAAAGTTTATGTTAACGAAGAGACTTGAATTTTTATTATATATTATATAATTGAGTTAGAAAATGAAATACTTTGATAGTAAAGAATTATTTAAAACTTTTAGTTTCTTCATAATAAATTCAATAAGTATGAATGACCGACAGAGAACGATGGGTCATTTTCATATTCGTGCTAAAATAAAATAAGGTAGCTAATAAACATATCACACGTGTGACATAAGAATTCAAATAGATAAAGACATAGATTTGTGGTATGTAATTTCAGGTTTACAGTTGCTATGCAATCACTATTTTTGTCGAATAGATAAAATACTTCCTATTTTAATTTTTACTGTCTCGACGCATATATTAAGTCCGAGACAATAAGTGGGTACAATAACTTTCTGGAAATATTCAATAAGACACGATATGTCGCTACTACAACTGTAATTCATATCATATCATAGTAATAATATCATAATATATCTGACATCGACCTCACTTATGGATATTGACTTCTCAGAACGAAATTCTATTTTTAAATTAAAAATTATTATTTAAAATTATTAGAATGTCTTTAAATCCAATAAACTTAAAACCCTATTTTTTAATATTTGTATAATTAGGTTTCGATTACAAACCGGTTTTTCTAAAATTTAAAACTGAGGATTCGGTCAAGATTGGGTTTGAGAATAGTTTTGAGCTCTTTTCTAATCGGTATTTTATGGTCCGTCCTCAGTTCCTGGTCCAAGAAATCTTTCATTGTAGTAATACTATCTTTCCAGGAAAAAAAATATGACAACAATAGGACAAGAACTTATTTTCATTATCTTTTCCTCTTTCTATAAAAAAATATAGTAGTTTTCAAAAAAAATTGAAACCAGTGTCCGATATCATTAAATACTTATATACAATTGAATCCGCTTAGTTCATTATCGTTTTAAATAAAAGCGTAATTACTTTTAGCTTCAATACGTAAGAAGCTTTTGGTTGTATTGTATCATGTTTTTGTTTTTATCCGTATACAAGAATACTTCGCTTCTACAGGACAGATTTTGCTTAAAAATACATCGAAATATTACAAAAGGTATCTAATTGAAGATGTAAGTGCCATCATTTTGAAATATTTCAATAATTATCTGTATTTATGACAAATTTATTGAAAAATTAGTTGCAATAAAACAGTCAACATTGATAGTTTAATTTTTCTCTTTATACTGAAATACAAATAATTTGTTTAAAACTGGATGTATTATTGTGAAATTTTTATATTAATAATAATAATAATAATAATAATAAATACTTTATGCATTTTTATTTTTTTCAAAATACGCATCAAAGCGTTTTACGATTGTAATTTTAAATACTGTCAAACAGAAATGGACTGTCACACTGTGTGTAGGATAGTGAGACGATAACTATTGTACCTAAGACTGATGATGTAACGAAATAATATTCTCAATAAAATTTTCTCGGTAACAGGAATATTCTTCTGCAAATTATTACGGAAGAATAAATACAAAAAAAAAATAAATAAATATATTTAAAATGAATTAATATATGGATAGCTGGTAAAATGTTTAGAGGGGATAGAATAATGTAATTTAATTAACCGGAAGGCTTACATTATTATAACTAAATAAAATTCAGTGTTTATAATATTTGAGGCCCAAATTATTAAATTTGTTTTAAATGATGGAATCGATGAGCAAAAGAGTCATTCCTGGGCCGGTAAACATAGCGATATACGCCGATTACCTCTCAGTTTGCATCTACTATCAAATATCAATCAATATTAATAAAAAATGTCTCAATCCCAATTTGCTTGATCCCTACTGTACTTTACTTTTTTTAAAAATTTATTGTTATTAGAAATTATTCAATTAACAATATAACATATTATTTATTTTCGGTGTAAAAATGTTTGTATATAATTTATAATAAAAATTAAAAATAAATATAATTTGCTAAGAAAATGTATTAATTCATTAAATAACGTTATTGTATATCATAAAAACTGTTCATTCAACCAATTTTAATATATATGTAAATATTTATTGAAAAATTATTAAATAACAATTTTTATATACATTTCAGATATTATATGATAACATATTTTATGCCCTTGTAACACTGGTAAGTAAAATTTTTAAGTTTAAAATATCATATTATTCAAAATGTTCTTAATTATTTTACGATAATTTACTTTTTGCATGCTTATTGATTTATATTATGTTTACAAGTATAATAACTCGTGATCCTAAAAACATTAACTTTTCTAATAATAAAACCTGATAATTACATAAAAGAAAATAACTAAAATAAAAAAAATGTATATAAATCTTTATTTATGGAAACTGATACTTGCATTAGTTTGTTATTGAAATGTTTGCATAGTTATTACGTCAATAATTATACAAATAACAGCATACGCTTTATTTTTAAAATATCTCCCTAAAAAAAGTCAGAAATTAAAATAAAGTAATGAAATTATGTACATGATTATTATTTTTGCTTAATATATTATGCAAATTATTTTACATGGAACCAAGTTTCTACTTTTGGCTTATGTGATTTGTAAAAAAATATCTACGAATGTTTATAATAACAATGTTTAATTTGTTATATTATTAATAAAAACATTATATTTTTCAAATTTGTAAAATAATATATATACTTATAAAACTATATTATTATTCTTAATTAGTAAAATATAGAAAACTAATTATTAGAAAATATATTAAACACAATAACTTAGGATAGGGTATTGATATTGAAAGAAAGGATCCTTTTTTCTACTATACAAAGTAATAATGACATTGATGAATTTGGGTCAAAAACGATAAATAATAGATCTGTAAAGAATTTTAAGATTTTATAAGGATTAAAATATAATGGAGGTTACTATGTATTAAAGATTATTGTTCTGGAACGTTACTCATTGAGTAATATTTTGATATCAGTTAAATTTTGATGAAACTAAAGTAAATTTATAATAATTAAATATATGTATATTCAGTTTTCAAAGTCCCTGAAAAGTTAGAAACTAAAAAAAGTTCTCTTTTTAATTCAAACAATTTTCTGCATAATTATTAACAAGAGGCTTCGCGATTTTCAACATGAGCCCTGTATACATTTAAGGCTTTATAATACATTTATTATTTAATTTATAGAACGGAATTGTTACTCAGTGTTAAACACTCTAAAATATACTCTGTAAATTTCAAAACTAATAATATCTACTAATTAATATTTCTTGTATATTTATAAGATAAAATTTGTTGTTACATATACAGGTATACTTAATATACCGTGCTTGTTAAAAAAAAAAATTGGAAATTTTGTGTATGCAATATGATAAAATAAAAGTCAGATTTAAATTTAATTAATATTCCCTTGCTACGTAGTAATTTTCATATCTTTTTTTATTGTACTAAAAGAATGTTATTGTTCGTATGTTGGTTTGAATGATTGCATAAAGTCAACTAATTTACCAACTTGTATATACACAGTTTCTGGTTTAGCCATCAAAATTTCCTAAAGTAAATTCATGTATTTAATGTAAACTTTATTTTATTATTTGAATAAATTTATTATGATTTATCAGAAGAGAAATTACTCGAGCAACTCCTTTAGGAGTTTCTGTAGGATTTTTCAGATAGTCCATAAAATCAATCATATCTTTGAACTTAACTTTTCCATTCTCTAAATCCGTAAACCTGTGCATAAAAATTGAAATTATATAATAAATATATTTTTTTTGTATTTATAAATTTATAATCTATATAAATACAATTATTACTATATAATAAATACAAATTGAGTTTATTTACATCATTATTCGAATAGTTGTTTTATTTTATAGTGTATAAAACACTGTTACTTCTTAAAAATAGATCTTTTAAATGTAATACATTCAGTAATGAATAATGTTTATCGCCGGATCATAAGGTGGTTACTCGTCCACAAGAGTTTCATAAGGGACAGTTGCCTCCCCTCTCTTTTTGCTTGATAAATATTCATAACCATTGTGTATTATAAAATTTTGCAAAATAAATTTTTACTAATTAAAAGTTAACAAATTTCTATTTTTATTAAATTGTATTATAAATGCAAGTATTAAGAGCGTTGTTTTTATAAATTTATGACAATAAGTTTGATTTTTATTAAATTTAGAGAGATACTTTATTTTATAAATAGTACATATAACTATCGAAAAATCTAGTATTTGTAATATTTTTCCTATAAAGTCTATAGGCACCTATTAGAACAACACGCATATGTTGTTCTAATAAGTTTGGTTTTCTTATGAAAAAATAATGTTGTATTTTCTCCCTACTTAAATACACGCTATACATGTATATGATACGATAATTATTATTTTTTTGGGAGGGAGCTAATTTGCTATCTGAAGAAGCTAAATTTCTTTTTACTGCAGTCTGTGGCCTTCAAAAAGACATGGTTACCTTCCATAGGAAGTTCCTCTGTTGGTGTTAGTAATCGGGGAGGTCACCCCCTTTAACGCTAGGTCTATTGAGTAGACAGTAAAACAAAATAATTTGACTTCTATTCAAAATTTCTGCGGGTGCCCTTGCTTAGGTAATGTGCTCGCCTCTTAAACAGTAAACAAAGGTAACCATCTACGAATTAGTATCAATCCGAAAACAGAGCAAATTAGATAACAGTTTTGTTAGACATGTTCATAGCATTCCTTGGTTTTCAAATAATCGTTAATTCAATTCATTTTGATTTCTATGTTGAAATAAAGATTTTATTATTGCGAATAACAACGAAAAACTTTTAAGAATCGTAATATATTTTTTTTTAAATCAAAGGTAATTCTCTATTGAATTGTTGATTTAAAGGTAAAGAAAAAATTGATTTATTTTTTTTCTAAAGTGTGTTTTTGGCTTTTATACAACCTTGTACATTTGTATAGAATTGAAAAATATCATTATTATAATACCAAAACAAGTATTTAATAAGGTACTTGGTCAATAGTCTATTTTGTATTTCCGGTAGTAATGGAACTCTATTTGTTTTAAGAATTTTTAAGGTCTCATCGTGATCCAAAACGCCATTTATCTGGTGTATATTCCTTTGTTTCATTGCAATGTCCAAGCAATCGAAATTTCTGAAAAATGCTCGCCGCAACTCGTTTTGAACAACTCTTTGAAACATTTCATCTGTAACTTCTTTAAATCGTTCAACCTTTTTATAAATTAATGCAAATACAGCTATTGCGTGTTGACTTAGTTCATTTTTGAACTCATCATGTAAAACTTGTCTAAAAATTTCCCTCGGTACCAACGGTCTATTTTGAAAACACTTATCATAAAACTTATTTATATTAGATCCTTCTGTATTGATCAGGTCGTAAAGTTGGTTATTTAACATTTCGACGTTACTATGATAAAACTAAACAGAATGTGATATAAGTGTTCAATTATTTATAATTTTAATATTTTACCTCTTTAGGATGAGCCATCATAAACTTTAATGTTTTGTCATCTACGTCTGTCAAGACAAACTGAAAGTCATCAATAAACAGTTTAGAACCTACAGCAATTTCACTATAAATAAAGGATTTTTCATTTTCATCAAATATTGATATAGAGCGTTTAGAACGAAATTCACCTCCTATAACACCTACAAATTTAGTTTTATTATAAGTATTTCGAGAATAAAATTAAATTCTGAAAAATTAAAGAATAGTTGAAGTTAATTCTATAAAATAAAATATTAAATTTATTGACGTGTGTACATTTTTCACATGCATAAACAGTTTAACAGAGGGAAAAAAGTATATATCAACCCTTTCATTCACAAAAATAAAAAATGTATAATTATTATTTTAAATACTTTTTAAAAAAGATGTATACATTTAGCTCATTAAATTTATTTAAGCTTCTCAAAATTTATGGGAATTACTTGGTTACTGTAAGCACTCGTGAACACTTATGGTTTAATTTAATTAAACTTTCGAAGCTAATATGAAGTTATCACATCCTAAGTTTTTATTTATGACATATGAAATTAATTGAAAAATAAAAGAATTTAGTTCATAATTATTGTTATAATTATATTACCTGAGTTTGGTTCAGTTATTTCGTATATACCAAAAGTGTTAGAGTTAAAAAAATATTTAAGTAAAAAATGTCTTGAAAGATTAATTGGATCATTAGATACCATCTTAGCTTTGAATATAAACACGTGATTATCAGCTTCACTTCTTAATCTTTTCAATACATTTTGATCGCGACTTTTTATCAATGTTGCGTTTCTTATTTTATTGAGCTCTTCTTCCAATTTTTGACGTTTAGTTTTTGGTGGCACAACTGACGCAAATGATTCTAGATACAGAAAATTCTATTATTTTAAGTATTAATCTTATACTATTACCGACATAAATAGTGATCTTGATTATTGCACATACTTAAACCATAAACATTTTTGTAGTAATTTTTTGTAAACTCATCACATTCCGTGAGTATTATAAGTCTATTGTAAATGAATAATTGAGCTCCAATATAGAGATCTGAAGCATTGTAGTAAGTATTTTCAACACTATAACCAGCATGCTGACTATCTAAAGCATACCATTGATACTTAGTATCTATACTTTTGCCCATAACTTTTAATAACTGCTTCTCTTCATCATATCCAATTGGTTTTAAAAATTTTCCATTCTGTTAAAAGTAATATTTATGTTAAAGAGTACTCGTGATTTAAAATATTTATTAAAAAATTAAAATTGTGGTAATTTTGCAATTACACAAAATTGTGTAAGTGATTATTAATACCATATGCTTATTTTTTGAATATTTAATTCCTAGTATTATCATTATCATTACTATAAAAATTGATGAGTAGTAATATATATATATATAATAAAGGGGATAAAAAAGTTATATAAACAATAAACTGAAATACTTTTGGGATACGTTGTCTTTGTAAAAATGTTTTCGAATTTCCATCTTCATCAATCTCGATTAGAGCTATAGTATCGTCTAATAAGAAATATCGTAGCTCCATGAAATGAAGATCACCTTCTAGAGTATTTCTATCATCCCAATATGCTTTAAACGATAACACTTTTCCTGTTAGATTTATATCTTTATATCTCTTTAGTGTTCCACCATTTATTTTAACATGCTTTTGATCTACACTATTCTAATATGATAAATTTTTTTCAAAATTATTCAGTTTTTTTGTATATTTAAATGAAGATTAGTGGTACTTCTTTACGATAATCTAAATACGGATCTTTTGGCATTGGTAAATTATTTGGGACGTCTACCCCCATTTTATACAGTATATCTCTAGTGTAAGAGTCTACTCCAATTATTTTGAAAACTTTTCCGTAAAACTCAATTGTTTTTCCAACATTTAAGTCAATGAGCTCATAGAACTTATTCGTCTGCTTACTCGACTGAGGTATTTTATGACGTTTTATCAAACATCCTAATAATAAAATTACCTTAACAATAAAATAATAATTTTGAAATGATTCAATATACCTTGGCTTGCACCATTGTTTATTACTGGTGGTTCCATCACTTTAATTGTATTGTCCTCGAGAAAGTATAATATTTTACAAAATCTTATACTGTAGTTAAATATGCTTTCATTTACTGTGACTTTAAAATATGCATCAAATGTCAAAATCTTAGTAAATATACATAGTTCTTTAGTTATAAATAATGCAGTCTTAATTTTATAAAAAAACAAATTAAATTTTTAATCTTTACCTCTTTATCAAAAACTAACCAAGAAGGTTTATTTGATACATCTCTGCCATTGGTAAGCATAACTTGAACCATATCTGGACTGACAACATTATTTTCTTTTTTTTCATCTACAGGTGTAACAATGGGCATTTTATTTAAAACGTAGAGTTTACTTCCAATTCCATATCTTTCTTTATTATCCTAATTATAAATAAATATTACATATGGAAGTTGCATTTGATCACATGTATTTGCAATTTAATGGGTAAAGTAAATTTATCAAAATTAAAGTTAATATATAAAATATATTATTATTGCTTAAAAGAACAAAGAATATTTTAACTATCAAACTAGATGACAGAAGTGTCACCCAATTAACTTTTTTTGCCTCGTAACATTTTTTCAAGTTTTCACTATCCCTTTTCAAATTTTCTAGTGGTGAACAAAAAGTGTCAACCTGTCAAAATTTCCTAAAATATTCCCTGCAGAAGAAGTACCTGGAAATTTAACGAAAATACATGATAGAAAACTATGAAAATCCATAGTAAAAAAACTTCAATGTGAATTAATTGATTCAAAATAAAATAGTGGCGCTTATAATTTTTTTTTTCAAATGAAATTAAAAGCAAGATTTAATGTATGTTATTATGAGATGAGTAAGTTCTAAACCTGTATTTAGACATCATATTAATTTTTTTACAACTTCGGGCTACTTTGTAATTTTTACTTTTGGCCATTAATTTTATTGTATATTAAGGTGATTAAAATATTTATTTATTTAACGTATGACTAATATTATTTTTAATATAAATTTATAGTTTCTTTTTATTAATACTATTATGATCATAAATATTATTATGAATTATTTACTAGTAGTTATCAAATTTATAGCATAGATGTAAAGATTTAATTTACTTAGAGTTATAACATTTAATTGGAAGCATTATTAAGTTCAATGTTCCATCCAAGTAAGTTGATTTTAAACATTACCCTTGAAAATAAGTGCACATGATATCGCTCACATATTATGTTATAAAAAAAATCGTCTTGTTTTAAAAAATTATTACTTGAAGAGGTTAATTGTACTTCAAATTAAAGGGTACTGTATAAATTTCTTAATTCAGTTTTTAAAATAATTATCATACTATTTTTGCCTCTGTTTACCTTAAACGACGGCCAATAACCAGGAACGAGTGGCAATTTGTAAGTCATATTTTAATCGCTTGTAGATTACAAATATAATTATTTGAAAATATTTAATTATTGTAAATCAGTTTCACTATTGTTGACTACTTAAACTGTTACAAACAATTGACATTGTTGCTAATGTAAATCACATGATTTAAAATGTACTTTCTAGAAATCTACGCATAGTTAATTATAATTACTTTCACAATAATTATTGTAGATTAAAAAATTATTTCGATATAATTATGCATGTGATTTAAGGATTTAGTATAAAAAAAAGTAACATTTAAAAATAAAATTACCTCATTAATCTTTAAATGTTATTAAAACAACAGTTGTTTCCAATAATCAATTTTTTATAGGTGTAAATATAAAATCTAAATTTAACAACTCAATCTTAATAAAAATTAGGTTGGCACGGTATTTTACATTAAAATGTTCAAATAATTAAGCAACGACTAAAACCAACTTTATCGTAGACATTTTCATGTTAATCTCTTATACATTTTTAAATAGTTTCGAACAATCTATGTTGAAATAAGTTTGGTAGACACAGCTTATATTCAATTTACATAACTGCTCTAAAAAGTTTAAGATTAATAGTTACAAAAATTATGCATTAAAAAACCTAATGAGGAATCATTACTCGAATAAGTTTTAATAAATTAATTAATAATGTAGTTTCAATAAATTTTAGTAAAATATGAAGTAAATAAGTTTTATTATAAAGACTTAGTTTATTTAAAAATCAACAAATAACAAAAAAATGAATTTTGTAATAAAAATAAAAAACAAGAATAAATCACAAAGCACAAGTCATTAGAGAAAAAATGTTAATTATTGATAATAACTCTGATGGTAAGTTGTTGGATATGAGTGAATTATTGGTTCTTGATAGGTAGATTCTTCGTGATGGTAAACTGGGGGGATTTTCTTGACCTTGGCTTGAAAACCGTGAATATGATCTGCAGTGTATTCAACTAATCGAGTGGAACCGTCGGGCTCGACCAAACTGTATGATCCAGTGACAGTTCCGTGTCCATCACTGGTTTCTTGGTGTGTTTTTATATCGTTTGTGTGAGTGTCTTTTACGGCATATCCGAAATGATATGGAGATGGTGGTCCATGATGGTCGTCAGACTCATCTTCAACTTGGTGAAAATCATGGTAGCTGTATGCCGATGGATATGCAATAGAAAGTCTAATACATACCGCTAAAGTAAAACTAACTGCCAAAGTTATCTAAAATGGGATAAAAAAAATTGTTAAATATTGTACTTGTAATATCTAAGATTTTGATCAGAGACGTATTAAGGGATTTTCTTATATAGAAAGATAAAACTTGTTTTTAATTTATTCAGAATAAATTATTTAAAGGATATTTTATTGTAAGACTAATGGATATTTTGCCTTATTTGACAGGTTTTGCTTTTTACTATATTATTATTACATTTAATTAGTATTATTATTGTAGTATTAAAATTACTATTCATAAAGTAGGAGATACTTGTGATTACAAAGATCAAAAAGATAATTATAATATGCGGTTAAAAAGTTTTGATTTTATTACCTTAAATAGTATTGGATATAAAATTATAGAACTGTATTATGAGCGTGCCCAAATCGTACCTGACTAGTTTTTATTGTTATGTATGTAATATTGTTTATAATTTTAAGTCTATTAACCTCTTTTAATAACAATCAAAAATATCTTAACAAAAATATAATTTCTTTAAATTTTATTTACAGGATAATATGGTAATATAATTTTTTCAAATAAAAAACATTATTGTGTTTAAATAAATTACATACCTTTAAAGCAGCCATGATTTAAAAAAAATAATTGTACGAACGAGTCACTATGATTTAAAAAGACGCACTAATGGAAATCTGAATCTGAAAGAGTTGTATTTATATAAGAAGTGTTCGTACCCTTCCTGTCCATTGTTTTCCCAAGATATCGTCAAGAATTATAATGATTGCATGAGCTAATTAAAAAAAACGAGAGTTACAATTGCCTACTAAAATTAATTAAGTTAGCGTTATACATATTATTACATCAGAACACATACGTTGTACAGAACTCAAGTATCTCGTTTGATTTTAAATACTCTTACATGCAGTTGATGGCTACTCATTGTAATTAATGTTTTTTATGCATTCTAGAAAGATATATCTATCGAAATGCATTATCCAAACATGTAATTCGATGAAATTAATAAGAAAAATATATAAAAGAATTTACTTACGTATGTGTACTACAATATTATTAGACAAGTAAGTTAAGATTGTTATCTCATGTATTATCGACATTAAATATAAATCATTCTTAAAACTCTCTTTTTTTAGTATAAAGTTTTTTTAATGTTTATTATCAATGAAACAAAATTGAGCGTTTTTTCTATATTTATTTTGATATTGATTAAATAAAAAATAAATTCAGATTTCTATAGGGTAGTATAGTTATTGAATTTAAAAATGCTATAATAAATTTATTATTATGAAATAACTTCTAATATTTAAATATAAAATTATTATTTTTTTCTGTTCTTAGATTTTAATACTATTAGCAATATTAAATAAAAAACTAAACCTACTATATAATTACCTAATTGAGAAGTTAAAATTTCAAGTAATACCAATCGTACCAACATCAAAACCCTTTTTTTCCACGGTTGACATAATGTTGGCCGTCTGGAACTACCGTGAGGCATTGCTACAGGGCAAAACTAGTTACCCTGTTAAGAATCAAATAGGTTATTAAAAAATTCAAAGCACCAATTTTAACCAGTTTTAGAATCATTAAACTATTTGTAAGTTCTACTTTCAACACATTTGAGCCTAACATTTATCACCAAGATAAACAGAATCATAATAAATGCTAATAAATTAAATGTTTTTAGATAAATTATAGGAAGAGTTTACTAGAACTTAATCGTATGGCTTTGAAGAAGACGTTTTATTGAATAAAATACTAGAATAAAATGTTTCTAGTGTATACTTCTTGTTATAACTTACAATGTTTAATAATGTCATGTAAACTTAATTGTTTTTTGAGTAATAAAAACGTGGGCTGAAAATGTTTAAATGTAATTAATTTTTTATCTCTATATTACACTCCTTGAAGTATATATTCATATTACTTATATTACTATAATATATTTTTACTGGTGCAACGTTTATTTTATCGTATACAATGTACCTTTAATATATTTATACTTTTTGTCGTCCAGTTGAAAAAAGACGTTAAATAAAAATTTCATTTAAATTTGCTTTTTTCTATCTAATTATCAGCTAATTTGTTAAGAAAAAGCAAAATTACAAAAACAATTATTATTTAGATATACATAATTTTGCAACTGGACATAATTATAATTTAATAAATTATAAAAATCGATGAAAATATTTCATTTTAATTTGATTACTACATTTATAATTAATGTTTGATTTTATAAATTAGGCTTAAAACGCTTTTACCAACGTGCCATCTAAAATTGTTATTTTCAACATATTTAATTTAGTTAAAAAAAAAAACAGATTTTCATGGTCAATTTTTAGTGTAATAAATGTTTTAACAGAGTTTTAAATTATTTTTGTAGTGTTTATTCTCATTCATGTAATATAATTATGATTATACAAATATGTTTATAAGTATACCCACAATAGTAATTTATTGTTAAACACACAAATATTAAATCAATTATATGTATCGATAGTATTTCAAACATCAATAGCAAAATATCAATGATGTTACCTATTCGGTGTAGGACAAGGTCGTGGTGACGCGATAACACTGTACATTAGCGATAACGATCTATAAATAAATTTATCAATAGTAAAACTAATACAACATATGTTACCCCAGAATCAAAACTGTCACAACTCAAAAAAAATCTATCTAAAAAAACATCTGACAGAAAAATCTAGTAAACTTTTGTTCACATTCCTGGAAAACATTTTTTTTCAATATGAAGGTGCGACATGGTAATTGTATGACATTTTTATTGCTTTAGCTAATCTGGAAAATCTACTTTTGTCCAGTTCTAATTCAAATTTAACATACAATGTGACAGTCTTATGCAACGTTAACAAATGATGACAATATTATGTTCAATTGTACCAAATTTTATTTAGTACGACTGCACTTAGTCTTAGTTAACGATTTGCTATGAATTATGATTTCGTGTTTAGTGTAATTTTAATATTTAGGATAATTTACAAATATAATGCATTTATACATACTTATAATTAATAACTGTGTGTCGACTATAAATAATTTTTACATTTTGCGTCATGGAAAGACACTTGAAATATCACCAAACACAATAAGCAATTATTAACAAGAAATTAAAATAAAAATCAATTTTTAGCCCCCTGAATCGTATAATACTATCTACATATGTACCTGTTTAAAGTATATTGACAAAATAAATAGTATTTAAAATATTCAAAATATTTACTATTTTCTAGAATTTTAGGTGCTTGATATTATTGTTATGTACAACTAAGCTAAACAAAATGATCGAAAAATACCTCCCTCATTCTACAGAGTTAATGAAGTTCAAAATAATATTTATGGTTTTTTAAACCAATCATATCTTTGTTGTTTAAGTATATGAGAATTTTCATATTAAGCATACTGTTCATCGTGACATGAAAATATCAAATAGATATTTAGTATTTTTTAAATTAAGTAAATAGAATTAATTTTATATTCATTAAAATTATTCCATATTTTAACTTTGTAAAAATATTAGTTAATATTAAGGAAAAACGTGACCTTTGAATTGAAAATATTAGTATTCGATTAAAAAAAAGTCACGGATCATCTAAGGTAATATGGAAAAATGTGGGAGTTTTAAATAACCGATACAATTTTTTATTGATATTGTATCTAAAAGATTTCCGTGTTGAGGATATATATAAGAACATTTTATCACAACCGTATTTATTTTATTAAGTATTGGGGCATTCTGAATAAATAAATAATGAAGTAATAAATTATTATTATTTGAGAATAATGAACTATTACTAATAATTAATTACTATCAAATATCTATGGTCAATATTTTCAGTAAATGCATACTATAATTTACTATCATGAGATAAGTAATTTTTCTGAACTATTCTGAGTAATCTTTAGACATTTGATATACTTATGTTGTTTTTTTTTTCGGGACATAAACTGTAAATATAAATCCTTTCTAATGAAAACCATAGCGTGTTTAAGTAATTTCTTTATATTTTTTTCTATTTCAATATTCTCTCACACTGAATCCCATGACTACACAACATACATTTGAAACGTAACTGACACGTGCACAGACCACTGTAATTAAATTACCGTCATCAGCTTCTATAAAATATTAAGGTTACATGTACCTATACAAGAGTTAGGTAATTTTTACATAATGCGTGTTTTGTTTCAAGTTCAAGTGCTACCAAACAATTGTTTGAATATGTTGTGATAGTTACCTATTTAATTATGTAAAAATGGGTTTTCAAACAGAGCCTGTATCCACAGAAGTATTTAATATTGCGCAAATATGTCTTATCATTTTTAGTTGCGGAATAATGCGCATAACTAGAAAAACGAGATTTTAACGGACCTTTTCGAGTCTTGATTAATTTAAATATTTTATTTAATTATTTTAAGTGTAGAAAATTCATTTAATGTACTTTTAGTACTCAATTTCTCCTTTTTAATTTGTTTATACCGATTGCTAAAAAGTATACAAAAATGTTTTTTAAATGTTCGCTGGGTGTTTTTAAGATTTAGATTACTTTTAATTGTTATTTTACACAAAATAGTAAAATATTGTAGTTTGGTGTTTAAAAGTTCTAAATTTGTATTTTTAGATAATATTTTTTTTTTTTATATTAATGAGAATTTTATACTAAGAATGAATAATGAATAAAAAATAGATATTTTTAGACATGAAAAAATTTTATCTTTTAATGTAAGCGATTTTACCACTTTCATTATAATTTTCATACTGTAAATTTTTTATTTGTTGATTTTGTATTTCATTTCTATATGATAATTTTATTACTATACGTTAACCAAACACTGAACATGTCATCAGAATTCATAAACTAGAACTTTCTCGACGACGTTATACAGAGTAATATTTAATTTAATGGATTATAATGTTATATCAAGACTAAAAAGAATAACCGCTTAACTCGTCACGCCAGTTGATCACTTCCGGGAGCGTCCTTTTAAACTATGTAAAATAGATTAAACAAAATGATATAACATTCAACAGTTCATTTATTTATAAATAACAAAATAGTAAACAAGCGTGGTAAAATTGTTATTTAATTTTAAAAAGAAGAGGATTGATTTTGATGTTCTTCAAACCATCAATTTATTAGAATAGTTGTCAATGTAATGACGACGACGATGACAATTCTTCTGGTTGGTATTCCTGTTCTTCAATAATAGGTTTTTGATGTTGAGCAGAGACGAGTTTGTAAGAGACGTCTTCCGGTATTTCTGTTTTTGGATAAGTTTTATAATTTGGTTGTTCGATCTTTTTAACTTGAGCTCTGAAACCATGTACATCATCCGCTGTATACTCAACTACTCTCATCGAACCGTCAGATTCCATCATGCTGTACATGCCCTTAACCGTACCGTACCCGTCATTGATTTCATTGTGTTTCTTTACATCTCCCGTTATTGGATCATTGACAGCATATTCAAAATGATAAGAACTGATTGATTCCTGATCATCGTCTCTATGTTCTAAAGACGCTGGTGGAAACGCCAACACATACCCAGCCATAGGTATACAAATGATTGCAATAATATTCTAAAAAAATAGAAACCTAAGTGCCAAGTATCTTAACTAAAAAATAAATAAAGTACACAAATATTATGTGTAAAATTTTTATTTTAAAATCAAAAGTAGTAACAAATTAAATTAAGTTATTTTTATTAAATTTTCAAAATTAAGTTTAACATTAAATTAATTGCTATGTGCTGAGTTACTTGTTATTTGAATAAAAAAAAAAAATCAGTTTAAGTACTTACCAAAAAATCCATAGCTGAAAAAAAATGTTATCTTATAGCTTTATAAATAAAATAAAATAAAAATTGTATTTTAGTTTTATTCTTGTTATTGACGAGTGTTGTCGAAAATATTTGATTATATATGGTATTTCTTAAGGCTCCCTACCATGGAAAATTTTCTTCTTTTCTTTAAAGGAAGTAACAAGTAGTTTAATCCATATCTCATTAAAAATGGAATGTGTTTTATTAGCAAATACGGAAACTTTAACGTGCAAATTCGATGGCTATCTGCACACATGGTAAGATCGAGTAAGTATACGAAAATGAAAAACACTTAACTTAATTGACCATCTTGTAATTTGATTACAGAAATTCTATTACTTAAGAGCATAAAATATTTTGTAGTGGATTTTTTTTATCTGTGAACTAGTATTTTGAAAATAATTTAACATGAATTTGTATGAATATCACAGTGAGTGAATATTCATCAGCAAGATTAACATAGTTAAATGTGTGAAAGTATGTTAGAGCATCTTGTGTATCCAATATTTCCATGTAGTATAAAAAATATAGATATAATCAATGTTATCTAGGCATTTAATCTGAGATGTATTATTATATGTACATGCTAAATAATTATCACAAATATTTTAATTAAAAATCTTCCTAGACCTAATTATTTGCACCATTCTAAAATAAGATTAGATATATTTAAAATTATATTTCGTTATATCACACAACATATTGTGCTTTGTGATCATTACTGTTCTTAATCTGTGCTGAAGATTTTTATAATTGACTAATATTCTAAATATTAGAATACATCAATATTTTAGTATCATTGAAGCATGTTTTACAACTTTAATTTTTCTTATAGATAAATATGACTATTTTTATTTTCATTTATTGATAAAAATTAATAATCATAAATTAAAGTTCGCTTTTCGATTTAAAAAATAATAATAAAATTATTTCTTGACTCTTTTTATAAAGCGTATTTATAAATTAATCGAAAATCATATTTTTCATCAAGTTTTTATGATAACTTCAAAATTAAGAAAAAATATATGATATATAGTTTTATATAGAGAATATAATAAAAAAACAGTCTTGTAATACATTATTTTTAATTAATAATTGTTTATTAAAACTGCAATTAGAAACTTACTAGAATAGTAATACTTCTAAACAATGACGTTAACGTCACTTATTTCATGTATACTTTTTTTTGACATATTAACTGTTAAAAGTTCTTATTTCATATTATTAGTTAAAAGCTGATTCTTTGAAGTAGCTGTTTTAATAAGGTTTTCTTCGTGAATGACACGAGGGAAATTGTACGAATTTCTAGAAGTTTTATTTTCCAATTAATAAATGAAATTCACTTTTTAAAAATGGATACTAAATAATCCTAAATGCTTAACTAAATAACAGTACTATTTAATTTATAGTAAGACGTAGTAACTAAATTAGTATTTTAATTTAAATTCCAGTGATATTTAGTAAAAAAAAAGTATAAACCTTATTCAATATGTTCCACATTTTTTAAAAATAATTTTAACATTAATCTTATTAAAAGTTAACTTTTAAAATACCTATATTAGATAAAAAAACATATTAAAATTTAAAATAGTATGGATTTATTTTGTATGTTTACTAATTTAAAATTACTTATCTGCATGATCCCACAAGGCAAATTTTTTAACCAAGTGGGACTAATCGAGCTGACCGTCATCAATGAAATGATCCACACGTAAAATAACAGTTTGAGTTGTCCTCATATCACTGTATTAATTAAAGAAATGAAGTAATTATGTAAAATGTTCTTTGTATACATTATATTTACCGGTTTTTGACCGTAGAACACCCAATATTGTTTGACAATTTTATTCTTATTTGGAAGGGATGAAATTTCCGGCAATATTATATACTATAAATACCAAGTTTGTGATCAATAAAATTATTAGTTTGCTCTCATCTAGTTTTATCAACTAACTGTAGCGCAACATTCAAAACAACAAGTATAATGGCAGCTAAGGTAAGTCGACATAATATTTTTTTACCGGTGATAACTTTAAATAATTTTATTCAAATTGTAATCTAGTTAAAATTCAACATATTATTTCTCTTTTATATTATTGAACATTTAGGAGTTATAATTTATAGCAATTAAAATTTCAGTAGTTAATATGACCAAAGAAAAGAGTATACTACGATTAAAATTGATGTATACCGAATTATATTATGAATTATTTCATGAAAATCTTTGTTTAATGTATTTTTATAAAAAACCTTATTGAAAATTAAAGTTATCTATGATTAATTTTATGACTATGTAGTGCACAAGAACAAATTAATATACGCTTATTTATAAAAACTAACTATAACACGATATTTTTTAGTAATTTTAACGATTTCTAAGCGTAGTGTTCCCTCTTTAGAAACGCATTAGAATATTTCATAGTAACTGTTTTATCAATAAGTTTAAAAAATGTATATTTGAAGCAAAATCTCAGAGTAATGGTTTATAGATAAATTTATAAAATTATTCTTTACTTTTTCATTTAGTAAATATATTTTTTTTGAATATGGTCCCTTTAAAGTTACTCGTTAATAAAAAAAAGTAAACGTTTAAAGAAATTAAATTTAAACGGTTATAGTCGCTGAAATTTAGAAAAAATTAAGAAATGGCGGTATGCATAATAATATTTATTTTATAATAGATTGTTGTATTTGTCGCTTGTGTGGCTTCCGCTCTGGCCGTACACGTTGGTCCAAACTACAGACAAGCATACACCATCCCAGCGTATTCAGCACCGGCTTATGCTGCGACAGCTTACGCTGCCCCGATATATGCAGCCCCCCTTGTGAAATCTTACGTCCCAGAACCAGACCACACCCCGGCTGCATACAACTTCGAGTACGGTGTCAATGACCCACACACCTACGACATCAAGAGCCAACAAGAATACTCTGACGGAAACGGCAATGTTAAAGGATCGTACAGTTTAGTGGAACCTGACGGCAGCACTCGTGTCGTCGAATACACCGCTGATGACCACAATGGTTTCAACGCTGAAGTCAAGAAAATCGGTGGACACAATGCCGTATATGGCGCTCAATTACCGGCCCTCAAAACTGCTTATGCCGCCCCTTCTTACGCACATCACGTATACTAATCGTATTATTCAATGTAATTCTTGCAAGTAGAATGGAAGTAGTTTTTCTAAAACATTAATTTCTTTTTTTTTTCTTCCGATAACATTGTTACAGTTTTTTTCATCATCTTTTTTTATACATTAACTTGTATTTGTTTTTACAATTTTGCAGTTTAGTAGTCAATTGTTTTGTAAATAAAATTTTCATCACCATCTTAATGTTTTCGTTTTATTTATTTAATTAATATTAATGCTATAATTTATCTATGGTAAATATTCTCATAAAATTTATCAAAGTTTCATCGCTATCACAGCGATGCTGTGATTTAAAACAGAACTTCTGAACTATGAAGTTATGGAACAAATTAATTGACTCAAAAAAAAAAAAAAAATCAATACATTATTGTCATTTGTTGAGCTTTGAAATTTGTTCGTATGCTGTTGGTTATTTGTATTAAAATTAGTTTCAAAATAGACAACAAACGCTTTTACTAGTCATTAGCATTTATATCATTAAAGATTGTGCGATAAGAATTACATCTGATATTGCTTAGTTCACATTTTACTCTTCTGGCAAACTGATGCAGTCTTTTTTTAGTTGCGGGGACTCTAGTGTTTTGCCAAATTTTTCTTGCTTTATGTTTAATTTTAATAGATTATTTAAGGAGACGTCAATAAAGGTATTACTTTGTGAAACCTATACTCGGTGTATTTTCGATATGTTGCGTGATATGCATGAATATGAATTGTATATAATATAATATTATAATAATAATATAACATAATTTTACCGCTACGAAATCACCTTGTCCTTGGATAATTTTGTCCTCGATGATATTATGTTAATGACAATTTTTTCAAATATTTTGTATAGTGATATTGGTCGGAAGTTTTTTGCTTCTGTAGAATCTTTATCATATTTAAGCGATTTTATGACCTACGCTTCCCTCAATTTTTTTATTTTCTTATATCAATTTATTTTAATTAGATTATCTTCAAATTGGTAAAGACTCAATACACAATCATTAATATTTAAAATTTTTATAATGGTTGATTTGCAAATAATTTGCTAACATCAAATAACCCCACACCTACTGGTACAAATCATCCGTTGTCAATATTGGTACTTAACAAACATTTATGCTTAGCTAGTGTTAACTCTATTGGTTTATTAACCCATTATTTTTTAATACGTATTGTTGTACATATAAAATTTCAACCCTCTAAGTTTTTATTTATCATAGAGTAATAAAAAAAATTTTTTTTTTTGCAAAATGTCTAGTAATTTGGCTTGTATGGATTTATACATATATTAAGCCTCTAATTTATCTATCTTCATTAAAGTTCTAAAAAAAAATTCGACTTTTTCAGAGACAATTAAAAAGTTTTTGTTTCACTATTTTGAAACTAAAAAAAAATTCCACATTGGAGTGTATGTTTGATAGACAAATTAACTTTTCAAGTATGTAAATTACTCATTATATTTGAAAAACCGCATTTCTATCATTTTTTAGTAGATTGCTTAAAAATCTTAAACTTTACGATTTTTGCATTAAACCAAATCATTGTACAATTCTTAAGCTAAAAAAAATTTTGTATTTGAGTGCATATTTGATTGGACAGCTATATTTGTTTTATAATTAGGTTAACTTTAAAACGCTGCTTTAAGTATTCTTCTTTAGAAAAACATGTAATTTTGCTTGTTTAGTTTCATCTATTTATAAATATAGAAAAATATTACTCCTTTAAAACAGGGCTTGAAACCGGTTACCGATTTTTTCCAAAAACTGGTTAAAACCTGCTTTTTAATTATGAATTGATTCTCAGTTTTATTTGTCTTAAAAAAATAACGATAATCTATTATTTACCGGTAACCAAATATTTTTAAAAATTATTAACCAAAAATCAATAACCTCTTTAAATTAACCGGTAATTACAAAAATAATAAATTGATTTTAGAATAGTTTAGGTTTGAATTGAAAATACATTTTATAGTTTGCATTATTTAGTATTAAATATTCATAAATTATGAATATTTTATATTTTATCTTATTATTAATACTTAATACTTTGTATTATGATTCATAAGATAGTAAATAAAAGAATAGACTTTCAGAGGGTTGATAAATTCCCTTAGAACGAAATAGATTACACTGTGAATATACACTTTTTTTGTTTAAGAGAGTAGAAAAAATATTTCTCATTATATTATCTCAGAACAAAAGTTTAACTGTACCACTGCAGTTATTACTACAAAAGTAGTAATTTTGAGTCCACTCGTTACAAAAAAAAAAAAGATACGTGTTAAAGAGACACTTCAAGTAGTGGTAGTCAAAACTTGTTTAATGAATGGCCACCCTGAATTTTTTTTAAATTTGAATTTTGAATTTTGAAAATAAGTACTAAAATTTTATTTTATTATTTACCGATTTTTACTGATTGTCGGTAACCAAAAAACCATAGCCGATTTTAAGAGGTTAAAGTTAATTTTTTTTTCTTAATAACGATGGTTAATAATCACTTTTTACGAAACCGATAACCTTATACCGACACCTGTTACTGATTTAAAGTAAAATTCGGAATTACCCAGTAATTAACGTATTTGTTTTGTAAAAGTTTCAAGTCTTATTTCAAAAATATGCACTTTAATCTACATTATAAGATACCAACATATTTCTATAATGATAAATTTTGGTAAATTAAATACTAAACACTTTACGATTGAGTGTTACAAAACAGTTATTTTCAGTCATAAAATTGAAATTAAAAAATTTTAATTCTTTTGATTTTTTAATATTTTAATTCATTTTCAATTCAATTCAATTTGGCATGAGAGCAAGATACCAAAATATCAGGAGGGTATTGATTATACATATTATATTTAATTCAACATGAAAAGACGTACTTTATCCATCTGTGTATGTTTGTTCAAGCCAAAATAAAAATTATTTAATTTTGTTCATTCTACAATTCATGTAATTGTAAACTATTTAGTGTGTACAATAGACAAACTTGTTAAATTCTTTGATTTCCTATAGTCTTAACTAAAAATGTAAATTTTCATGAAAATTATTGAAAATGTCTTATTTCTCTAGCAATATTTGCTATAACCTTTTTATTAATCTCGCAGTTTAGAGGAACTTAGAGGATGCAATTATTAAAATTATAAATTAAAAATATAAAAAATAATTCTTGTAATTAGTGTTATATTAATTAACTTTATAGACTTGCAAAAGTTAGGGAGAAAAGGTCTACAGATTATAATCTCCTTATATATACCATATATATAAGGTGTATAAAAAGTGCTGATAATAGGGTACTCTCGAGTGATGATGATGTGAAAAAAAGGTGGAAAGAGTATTTTGAAAAATTTATGTATGAGGAGTATCCAAAAGAGACGTTAGGGTCAGTTATGCAAAAGAGTGATGGTATTGACGAAGATGTAAGACACAGAATTAAGTGCGGGTGGTTGAAGTGGAGAGAAGCGTCTGGCGTCTTATGCAATAAAAGAATTTCAATGAGGCTGTAAAGTAAATTCTACAAGAATGTAGTGAGACCAGCTATGATGTATGGTTCAGAGTGTTGGACGGTTGATAAGAAAGTAGAGCAGAAAATGCTTAGATAGATGAGTGGAGTAACTTGAAAAGATAGAATTAGGAACGAGCAAACAAAAGGGAGTATAGGTGTATCGTCAATCGTGGATAAGATGAGAGAATATAGACTTGGATGGTTTGGTCATGTTATGAGGAGAGAAGAATCGGAAGCTGTACAGTTATAGAAATGAATGTTGAAGGAAGAAGAAGTAGAGGAAGACCAAAAAAGAGATGGAGAGATGCTATTGAATGCGATATAAGGACAGCTGATGTGGGAGATCGTGTCAAGTGGAAGTTTAGGATAAGGGTGGCTGACCTCAAGTAGTTGGGATTAAGGCGAGGAGGAAGAAGAAGATATATATTTAGTGGTGATGTAAGTTTTACACTATGAGTATGTACGTTTTATTTTAAACATGAAATTATATTATGTGTGAATTATTTTCTTACTTAAAAGTCAATCGCTCCTAAACATAAACCAAACGAAGCACAATTTATATAATTCACATTCATAATATTGTAGTATATTTTAATAATATGAATTAAAAAAAAATGTTGTAATGATTTCTTTAATTTTTTGTTTTATACCTAATTTTTTAGAAGCAGCTAGAACTAGTAAACAAACAATGTATGGCATTTATTCAGTAATTATCGATTCTTAACAAAATATACGATTTATAACTTAAGATATAACAAAACTTTATAGAAAATAATGAATTTGAAAAAATATATTATACTATTTTTAATTATTATTTTTAAACTTTAACTTCAGATGAGATAAACATGTGTTGTAAAATCATGAAACAACATGTATTTTTGTCTAATAAAGGTGTGGTTATAAAAAATTTGGAAAAAATTTTATCAGGACAAAAATTAAAAAAAAAGGTAATTGATAAAATTAATAATAAACCAGGTAAATATGTTACATTTTATGAGAATGATCACAATAAACTACGCTTTTTACTAAAATTAAGATCTATTTGTTTTAAAACCCGAGTTTTTTTATGAAGTACTTGAATATAAACAAGATGATTGATTTTCTGGAAAATGTTGAAAATTTTTATTTTTTAAATAAGAAAAAATAATTGATTGAACAGTAATATGTTATTAAATATCAATTTATTTCATCCTTTCAAGATAAAAAAACTTTATTTTAAAGATAGAACTACTACACAACGAGGTTTGATTATCTGGCGGCATAGTTTAATATAAAAATAACAAAAACTCAATTCACTATAGCGCAATCTAGTTCATAACACCATTATATAGTTCATTATGATAGAAACAAAACTTATTTTAATTATTGACGATTTTTATTACTTGTTGATGAGTGATTTGGTCATATGACCTTCAGAAACGCTAATATGCAGAAGATGATATCAACTCTTAGATAAGAAACTTTTCCGCAGTAAATTACTGTAACATTTGATTAACAGTTGTGTAAACATTTTATCTATAATCGGACAAACGCATTGATTTGAAATACTGATTCCACAAATTTTATTAAAAATCCATACCATTTTATTTTGTGTAGTACACTGATTAAATTGGTAGTTATATCAATTTCGCTCAACCAATTTTTATTTAAAAAACGAAAAACTATAGAAAACTAGTTATTTACATTTATATTTTCCAATATTTTATTGTATTTTTATTTATTAAAATGATTTTTTTGTTATTTTACGCGATATATCAATTAATAAAATATTTTTTTAAAAAATGGTTTCTTTTTTAGAAAAGCATAATAACTTTTACAAAATTAAAAAAAAATTTTATAAATAATAAAAATCAAAATTATATCAAAAAATATTATGACTTAACAAAAAAATTGTTGAACTTTTGTAACAAATCGGATAATTAATTGGGAAACACTAAAAGCCGCAGTAAACCTTTTTAATGGTCACAAATTATTGGGTTATGATAAGATATATATTTCATATCATTATATCTTTATATATATAGAATGATATAAAAAAAAACAGGTGCGTTACCCAAATACCCACATTATGGAATTTTGAAAAAAAATATTCAGTATTTGTATATTTTTACGTTCGATTTTGTACAAATACAAGTATTTTTGTACAACTCCTTGACTTCTGAAAAATAGTTTGATTTTATTTTTTCAACAGCTCAAGTATTTTCAATGAACATGATTAAAAATTGTATAATGGACATTAAAACTTAATCAATTTCGACTATCCAGAAGACCACGTTTGGGTTGGGACTAAATAAATATTAATAGGCATATTTAGTCATCAAGTCAAATAGTTACCTTATTTTGGTGTAAAATATTGATTTTATGGAAAAAAAGTAATTTTTTCTTTGGTCATAATTATTTTTTAATAACATATACATATTAAATTTATAATTCGTTAAAGTATGATTATTTTACCAAGTTATACTTAAAGCAATGTCAATAAAAGTATCAGACTAACAGGAACAATTTCAAAAGTTAAGTTGAGATAGTTCTACTTTCTATATTTATTTTTTAGATTTGAACACCCCCCCCGTATATAGGGAAATGGTCCAATTTAAAATAAAAGTATGTCAAATGAAAGAAGTATTCATAATATATTTAGAAAAAAAAAATTGTGTTGATACACAAATGATACTTTACAAAAAGTTATAGCAATTTAAAGTTAAAAATGTAAAATCGAAAATTTTAACACAGAAACAGCAAAAGTTTTCAAAAGTTAATGTGAAAAAGTTGTCATTTTAAATCCTCCCCGTGGGCAAGTAAAGGGTGAGATTTATAAAAAAAATATACCAAATGAAACCGATGTCATTTTTTTCTTAATGAAATTAAGTACGCCAATGTTAAATATTCACATTATCATAAAATTAAAATAATTAGCTCTAATATTCAATGAAGAGAAAAATCATACAAAATAGTAAACCTGTATTATTCCATTTTGTTAAAAATTATAACATTTAAAAAATATTTGTTTGAAATCTCAGTCTTCAATGAAAAAATTATTTTTTGAATTATGGATTAATTTTTATTGTTTCTTAAAACTATTTTGTTCAACATAAGATTAAAATTTGTTCAAATTATTATTTTATACATTTAATAGAAATAGCCAAGATCTAAAATATTAATATAAATATATATAATTGTAATTTACAAAAAATTTCCTAATTAAATAAAATACTAGATAATGTAAGTAAAATAATGAAAATAGTTATACGTTACTTTACTATGTTTCTTACTTTGGTAACAACACTACGTTAGTGTTGTTACCAAAAATCATTTAATGATTAATAATAATGTAAAATCATCTTAATTTTATGTTCTGCTCGTGGAATTAATTTGATATTCATTTGTAATATACTTTGCCTAACTACCTCGGTAAAGTGAACATTTTCAACAAATTATGATTTAGTTAAATAAATGGTATCTCGACGTAGATAGCACAAAGTACATTCAGTCTACATTTACAAAGCTCATTTATGATGTTAAGATTTTAGACGTCGAGATTAACATCGTACATGGTATATTTACTTTATCCATATTACTTCAATAATACAATTTTTTAAAGAAATAATCTTAATAAATATAAATGAAAAGTTTCAAATGTGAAATTATTTATTTATTTTTATTATCAAAAATTATAATAAATAAATTAAAAAAATATTCAAAATGTATTTTAAATACTTTTAGAACAATGGTAGTTCTCTATTAGGAGAAAAATGAAGGAAATTTCTTGGCAGAAAATTTAAACATCTTAGTAATGATTGTATGGAGCTGGTCTGTAGGCTGGAGCGGAGTGAGCAGAGTAAGCTGGAGCGGAGTAAGAGGGCTTGTTGTAGGCTGGGGCGGATGCGTATGATGGGGTTCCTTCCTTTTTGACTTCAGCGTTGAATCCGTAGTGGTCGGCGGTATAGTCGACGATTCTCTTGGTTCCGTCGGCTTCGACCAAGCTGTAAGATCCTTTCACGTTTCCGTGTCCGTCTCCGTGTTCGTATTGGCTGTGGATGTCGTAGGTGTGTGGGTCGTGTACGCTGTATTCGAAACTGTATGGGGATGGTGCGTATTCGGGTTCGTGGGAGTAAGCTTTTGGTGCTGAGTGGTAAGCGGGTGCGGAGTGGTAAGATGGTGCGGAGTGGTAAGCTGGTGCGGAGTGGTAGCCTGGTGCGCTGTATTGGGATAGAGCGGATGCTACACAAGCGGCGAAGACGATCAACTGAAATAATGAAATGAAAACTTATTTTTACTAATTCATTATAAATAATATAATATGTGTTACCTTAGCTGCCATTTTGATTTGGTTTGTTTTGTGTGTGTTCGTTTGAATGAGAACGATAGAGAACTGATGACTGTGTACTTTTATGATGGAGTATTTATACAAGTAAATTTAAATGTGTAATGCGATTCTTTGCCACTCTAAAATAAATCACTCATGCTTTAGGCGATCTAGATTACTTAATACATATAGCGTGGTCCATTTACTACAACCTACTAATTTATTCTAACTAAATACTAAAATAAAGTTAACGCCCTTAAAAGAGAGTTATAAGTTATAATTATAAGGGATGATGCTAAAATGTAATTAATAACTGTAAATCAAGAAATACTTATTACGAAGGAATTCCAATTTTTCGTCAATATTGAATTATTGTTATGATTTTCTGAGTAGGTAATGATAAATTGATAACTTTGTTTATTTTTACTTTTAGTGATTAAATAATTCAACAATAATATCTATATTATTCTTAAACAAATATTCTAGGTTATTTTTCAAGAATGTCAAATAGTATTAAATTAAAAGACATGTTCTAGGTGGCCATAAGATATGGTAACAATAAAAATGACTGCTAACGGTAGAAGAAAAAAATATAAAATAAAACCAGTTAGTTCTTTTAACTTGAAAACATAAAATGAATACCGATGCCATAATAATGATCTTCATAACAAAACATTACATTATATGACATAAAATAATAAAGATAAGTTTGTGGCTAGTGCAACCAAAAATTTGTAATACAATTGAATAATCGTAATCATTTTTAGCTTTAAATTTTTTTGTGTAGCTTCAGTTTTTATAGCTAATTGTTGCCACAAAGTAAATTATTTATTATTTGTAATATTGTATCATAACTTATATCATTAGAATATAATACGATGTTTTCTTTTGTACTATTTTCACAAATTATGAATTTAAAATCACCAAAATAGGGTTACCTTCTTTAAAACACAAAATAAAACTTGAATATACGTATTATTACAAATTATTACTCGTAGTATAGATTTAAAGTAATACACATAGATTCTCAATTAAGTCCAGGCTATTGCTTTTTACAATTTAGTAAAATCTACATCTTTTATAGGTATTATTATTTTTAATTGTACAAATATTGAGTATTTTTACATACTAATCTATATACATCAATATTAAGTTATTATCATATAAAAACAAATTTTAAAAATTATGACAGTTTTATAAAAATATACTACATGCTGTTTGAAAGTTGCAATATGATAATTATAGCAGATATTTGATTACAAAAAGTAGATCACAAGAAAACTGGGAAACTTTAATTAACACAGTAAAATAATATACTTAAATAAGTATAACCATTTACTTACAGTAAATAAAATATAAGTTCAATAAAATTTTGAGAATACAAAAATTGACTTACAAATGAATATATCCTAATCAAATAACCAAAACACAAAAATTTTAAGTTTTTACAATGATACTTTTGTATAATAATAACAGGCTCATACATTAGTACCTTAGAGTAATTAGTAGCGTAATGAAAATATCGTAAAAATATAATGAAATAATAAATATATAGAGAGTGACTTTATTTCAGTTTTAATCTATAAGAATATTTTAACCAAAATAATTATTTAATTTTAATAATCAGTTCACTGAACAACCGGTCTATAACCAATACATTTCGGGGCGTGACATAAAATTAAGTGGTGCGAATCGCCTAGGATTATTTAAATATAAATACTCCATCATAACAGTACACAGTCATCAGTTCTCTATCGTTCTCATTCAAACGAACACACACAAAACAAACCAAATCAAAATGGCAGCTAAGGTAACACATATTATATTATTTATAATGAATTAATAAAAATAAGTTATCATTTCATTATTTCAGTTGATCGTCTTTGCCGCTTGCGTAGCATCCGCTCTATCCCAATACAGCGCACCATCTTACCACTCAGCACCAAAAGCTTACTCCCACGAACCCGAATACGCACCATCCCCATACAGTTTCGAATACAGCGTACACGACCCACACACCTACGACATCCACAGCCAATACGAACACGGAGACGGACACGGAAACGTGAAAGGATCTTACAGCTTGGTCGAAGCCGACGGAACCAAGAGAATCGTCGACTATACCGCCGACCACTACGGATTCAACGCTGAAGTCAAAAAGGAAGGAACCCCATCATACGGATCCGGCCCAGCCTACAACAAGCCCTCTTACTCCGCTCCAGCTTACTCTGCTCACTCCGCTCCAGCCTACAGACCAGCTCCATACAATCATTACTAAGATGTTCAAATTTTCTGCCAAAGAATTTCCTTCATTTTTCTCCTAATGGAGAATTACCATTGTTCTAAATGTATTTAAAATAAATGTTGAATATTTTTTTTTAAATTTATTTATTATAATTTTTGATGATAAAATTAAATAAATAATTTAGTGAATCTACTTAGATAGTGTTATGCGATCTTCTATTTATTTTCTTATTTTACTATCTGACGAATATAACATGTTCGTAATAAATACGAATGAGTATAATTGAGGATCGTGACTAATGCATATTAAATTTAAAGTGATAATACAATTTACAATTATAGTAACTTATTATTATATTGTGACATGACATGGTTTTTTTAAACATATTTTAATTGGTTATTTAATTTTAAATTACTTCGCATTAATTGACATTTGAATGTTAAAAAAAAAATTAATCAATTTTTTTGAGTGATAATCACTTTAGAAATACATAAATTTNCCGACGCTTTTATCACAATAATACTAGTATTTTTTGTTCATAATTATTTTAAACTTATTTTAAAAATTATTTTTAACTTTTTAGTTCGACGTGCTTTAAAAGCGTGTTTTTTTAGTTTTTTAAACTATATTTATTTCTATTGCCTATGGCAATGATTTTTTTTTACAATTTTTCTTAATTATTTTTTTTTGAGTTACAATATCGCTTTTGAATAGTCCACTAATTTCTTAAAATTAAACACTATCTACAGATTTGCATCGAAGCGTTTCTTATGATAGTGATTTTAATCACTGTCAGATATCTTCTATACTAGTCCCAACTATGCCACGCTCACACTGTGCCGTGACCCTACTGTGCTACTTTTTTTTTTTTTTTATAATTGTGATTGTTGATTCGTTACATCACTAATCGGAAGATCCTCTTCTAATTGTAGACCTTTTCTATTTTATTTACATGATAATTATTGTTTATAGTTGAATGTAATATTATTGATTTGTTTTAGTCTTATGAACATTGCTCTTATCGGTTATGAAAAGAAAAAATAGGTAATAGTAATTAATTAACAAAAAATATAATGATGCCATTCATTATTTTAAAACTGATTTGAACAATTTTTTGCAATAATAATTAAGTAAAATACATTATTAGAATAAACTTTTTATTTAAAGTTAGTCGTCAAATATGGTGTAGTGGGCAGGACTTATGCCATCAAACTCTAAAGTTAAGTTTTGCTACAAATATTTTTTATCGGTTGTCTTACACGATCCTTAAAACTGAATGACATTGAACACTATTATCCTTAACACAAAAGATAAATGGAAACAATTTACCTTAATACTTCTTCAAGATATATCTGTCTAATCTTCGATATTTTCTAGTTTAATCAACCTGATGAACAAAAAAAATATATACTTTTTGATATTTCAGAATTTTTGTTCGAAAGTCACAAAACAAATAAAAAATACATAACACGTAAACGTCGAAAAATTGGTATTAAAAAGAATCAATTATATTATGGTGGATTAGCCATCTTTGTTTTAACAGTTGGTATAACTTGTAACAATTTTTCAGAAAATCAAACTTAACATATATTTATTTTTTAAACACCAATATATCAATTAGATATTTGTTTGTACTATTACCCAAGAATGTATATTATACCATCTAACAAGATTTGTATTCAGTTTTGAGTTGGATTGTTTAATGTTAATCATTAATTGTAGTTCAGAGTAATTAGTAAACGATTTGCATAATAAATCACTAGTTCAAATTTCTAGTTTAATTATAACTTGTATCTTCAATTATGAAGTAATTTTCAACTTGTCTATAGTCTATAAACTGAATTATAATATTAAATGCATGCCCTTAGGTCTATGATATAACCTATCTGTGTATTAATATTTAATTATTATACAAAGTGATTCATTAAGGATAAGACACATATTTTCTCAGGCACTATTATTTTTAGTTTTTGTAGATAAAATAATTATTAGGCTTAAAATACTCTACAATATTATGTAGTCAAAAAATGTTCCATTTCAGGCACAAAAACGTCGAACTTTATTTTTCATAAATATGATTCTATACTTTGAATTCATAAAACGACAATAAAACGACAAAAAAAATGATTATTTTATTATTTTTTCATTCATTTTGTTGAATCAACTGTTTATGTTGAAAAATAGTTTAAAGATTTAGATTTAAAGTAAAAATTATTTATTAATTTGCAGAATTGGGAAAATTTAGATTTTTAGATAAAAAAATATTATCTTTTATCATCTTACCTGGTTGATATTATAAATGTTCATCTATGATAATAAATTATATTATGATTTATTTTATCATATTTCGTACATTTTGCATAACAAATGATAAAACCATAAACCACAGATATCTTTATAATACTAAATAATACTCCTAAGATAAATCGATAAACAAAAGTATATTATAGTCTTCTTTGTATAATAACCGATTTGGTATTCATATTTATGACTAAAAAGCTACATTATTATGTCTATTATATTTGTACATAAAGTGCTATTATATTCTATAAATTAGTATATACTATAAGTAGTAAATCACATACTGTAATTTATAAGTTTTTTTGGATATATTTAATAATTTGACACCAAGTAATAACAATGTTATTTTGATAAAGTCAATATTTAATTTAATTTTTCTATAAAAAAAATCATATTTTTAAATTCTTATAGCAATATTAACGTAAAAACTAATTTTTATTTTTGAAGAAATAATTGTATTGTCTAAACAAGGTTTTTTTTACTATACTTGGAGGGTTGCATCAATCTATCACCAGCTACTGTTAATCAGCGTCTAGCTGCATGGTCATATATTTGTCTGCTACTAGCTAACTTTCACTCATCAAGTTAACATGTTCATTTTGCTTCCAATTAGAGCAAAAAACTCGTGACCTATTTATTATCAGTCCTTGCAACTAAACATGTTAAAATTTATCAGCTGCTGATAAATAGTCGTCAGCTGATGATTACTATAGCAAAATTAGTAATTTATGAGTGACAAAAAATATTTTCTTAATTCGTTATTGACGCTACCCCTGCGTGACTCACGATTAAGGCATTTTAAAATGCTCTTCAAAAACTAAAATATTATAATTTTTTTAAATAGAAATTCTATCAATAATTGGTCCCTTAGGTCATTGACACAAAAGTAATTATTCAAAATAGAGTTTAATATATAATAACTAATCTATTAAACAAATCGAGAAGTGAAGTAAGTCACACCTTATATTTAAATATTTCAAAAGAGATATGAATACTAAAATGCAAGGTTTCAACTACAATATAGTACTATATTAAGCATGATAGTTAAAATTATGTTTTTATAAAGAAATTTATTATCACACGAACAAATCCATTCATTTTTCATAACATCCAAATGTCAATTAATGCGAAGTAATTTAAAATTAAATAACCAATTAAAATATGTTTAAAAAAACCATGTCATGTCACATAAAATAATAAGTTACTATAATTGTAAATTGTATTATCACTTTAAATTTAATATGCATTAGTCACGATCCTCAATTATACTCATTCGTATTTATTACGAACATGTTATATTCGTCAGATAGTAAAATAAGAAAATAAATAGAAGATCGCATAACACTATCTAAGTAGATTCACTAAATTATTTATTTAATTTTATCATCAAAAATTATAATAAATAAATTTAAAAAAAAATATGCAACATTTATTTTAAATACATTTAGAACAATAGTAATTCTCCATTAGGAGAAAAATGAAGGAAATTCTTTGGCAGAAAATTTGAACATCTTAGTAATGATTGTATGGAGCTGGTCTGTAGGCTGGAGCGGAGTGAGCAGAGTAAGCTGGAGCGGAGTAAGAGGGCTTGTTGTAGGCTGGGCCGGATCCGTATGATGGGGTTCCTTCCTTTTTGACTTCAGCGTTGAATCCGTAGTGGTCGGCGGTATAGTCGACGATTCTCTTGGTTCCGTCGGCTTCGACCAAGCTGTAAGATCCTTTCACGTTTCCGTGTCCGTCTCCGTGTTCGTATTGGCTGTGGATGTCGTAGGTGTGTGGGTCGTGTACGCTGTATTCGAAACTGTATGGGGATGGTGCGTATTCGGGTTCGTGGGAGTAAGCTTTTGGTGCCGAGTGGTAAGATGGTGCGCTATATTGGGATAGAGCGGATGCTACGCAAGCGGCAAAGACGATCAACTGGAATAGTGAAANATAGAAGATCGCATAACACTATCTAAGTAGATTCACTAAATTATTTATTTAATTTTATCATCAAAAATTATAATAAATAAATTAAAAAAAAAATATGCAACATTTATTTTAAATACATTTAGAACAATGGTAATTCTCCATTAGGAGAAAAATGAAGGAAATTCTTTGGCAGAAAATTTGAACATCTTAGTAATGATTGTATGGAGCTGGTCTGTAGGCTGGAGCGGAGTGAGCAGAGTAAGCTGGAGCGGAGTAAGAGGGCTTGTTGTAGGCTGGGCCGGATCCGTATGATGGGGTTCCTTCCTTTTTGACTTCAGCGTTGAATCCGTAGTGGTCGGCGGTATAGTCGACGATTCTCTTGGTTCCGTCGGCTTCGACCAAGCTGTAAGATCCTTTCACGTTTCCGTGTCCGTCTCCGTGTTCGTATTGGCTGTGGATGTCGTAGGTGTGTGGGTCGTGTACGCTGTATTCGAAACTGTATGGGGATGGTGCGTATTCGGGTTCGTGGGAGTAAGCTTTTGGTGCCGAGTGGTAAGATGGTGCGCTATATTGGGATAGAGCGGATGCTACGCAAGCGGCAAAGACGATCAACTGGAATAGTGAAATGATGATAACTAATTTTTATTAATTCATTATAAATAATATAATATGTGTTACCTTAGCTGCCATTTTGATTTGGTTTGTTTCGTGTGTGTTGGTTTGAATGAGAATGATAGAGAATTAATGTTTGAGTACAGTTTTAATTTAGTATTTATACTACTGTATTTAAATATGTATGGAGATCTTTCCACTCTCAATTTTATTTTTGAGCTTAATATAATATTATCTGTAAAAAGTAAATGGTTATTCTTACTTCATCAAATATGTTATCTTCTGGTGTTAATTACACTTGGACCGGTTGTCTAGTGATCTAGTTTTTGTAATCAAATATCTACTCTAATTATACTCAACCTACTGTATTACCAAAATATTTTAATTTTGTATTTTGTTATAATTATTATTTTTAAATATCATATAGTATTTATTGCGTAACTGTAGTTTTTATAATACATCTATTTTACAGGAATATTTTAAAAAGAATATACAGATTAATTCAAATTTAATTTCTTAGGTTTATATTTTTTTAGTGCAACCATCATTTTATAGAAATTTTTTTAGAAACATTTTTTGCTTCTTAGATTAAGTTTAAATTATTTTTTATTTTTTTTTTGCTAAAAAAATTAATATTTATTAATATAAGTTTTGTAATTTTAAAAATTCAACTTTTAATTGTAATGTTCATTTAATTTATTAATCTCTTAATTTTCAAAAAATATATATAATTAGATCTTAAATAATTATGTGATTAAATAAATTAATGTTATAAGAATGTGTTTTATTTGAATAACAATTTTTTTTTACTTAGTGATTTCTTAATATTAATGTTTAGTTTTTGTTTGATTTGGATTTTTGAATTAATGAGAAAACTGAAGTTCTATGTTTTTGTTAGACTTATTCAACGTAATAATCATATTTTTTATTTTAGGAAATCATCTTATTTTTAAGTATTTATTGTTGCCTGCAAAATGAAAATCAAGAATTGTTATAATACTTCATTTTTTCATATCATTTAAGTATTTTTTTAGTACAGCGAATAAATAACTCAATTTTAAAATAACTTATTTTAAAACCCATTGGAATTGCTTTTTGATAAATTCTAGCTTCTTTAAATTTGCCCTTTATAATTCCAATTTTCGTTCATTGATCCAATACATAGACTTATGTCTCTAAACTAGAAAATTGACTACTTAACTCAATAATATATTATTTCATTACATTTTAAGCATCAAAAAATGTTTCCATGCAAATCATAAACTGATTTTTCCTGTAATAACATTGTTGTAAATATTACATCTGTGGGTCTTAATTACACACTACCAGCATTAGTATCAACTTAGTGTACAATCAATGGGAATTCTCACATAATGTCCGTAATGAACAATATTCATTGAACATGTATACAATACACATAGATGTATTCATGTATTAATACAAAAGAAATATGACATATTTTTATAATTTATATTATTTAATGTCTATATTTGAATACATTTCACAATGATTTTATTACTGTTTTTTATATATATATATATATTTGATTAATTCTGTTTTAATGTATATTCCCATACTTCATAGTATGTTTTAATGAGTATTCTATAAATGATTAACAATAAGAGTATTTGGAGATTATTAAAACGAAATAACTCTTAATTCTATATAAAAATTAATTTGAAATTGTAAAAATTTGACATTAATGAAAAGTAAATAATAATACATTATTAATAGAAATATTCAGTTAACATTCTTTGGTACATCATTCTTCCTTGGGAATACTTTATATGAATCAAAACAAAAAAAGCCCAATATATAACAAGATTAATTAATTTTTACTAAAGTTTATTAGTAACCTAAATGCATACATAACGATCATTCATTATAATGATTAATTAAAATCAACACACCAACCAAACTAATACGTGTTAAATAAAAGGAATTATACACAAATATAATTAAATAAAAAAATATAAAGTTTGACATTGATGTAATTTTTATATAACATTACAAAGTAGTTTTATGAAATAATAACAGGCTCGTACATTAGTAGTTTAGAGTAATTTAGTAGCGTGATGAAAATACCGTAAAATAAATATAGAAAGGTATACAAATATTTGGGCGGTAATTTTATTTCAGTTTTGAAACATAAAGATACTTCAACTAGAGTAATTATTTAATTGTAATAATCAGTTCACTGACCAACCGGTCTATAACCAATACATTTCGGGGCGTGACATAAAATTAAGTGGTGCGAATCGCCTAGGATTATTTAAATATAAATACTCCATCATAACAGTACACAGTCATCAGTTCTCTATCGTTCTCATTCAAACGAACACACACAAAACAAACCAAATCAAAATGGCAGCTAAGGTAACACATATTATATTATTTATAATGAATTAATAAAAATAAGTTATCATTTCATTATTTCAGTTGATCGTCTTTGCCGCTTGCGTAGCATCCGCTCTATCCCAATACAGCGCACCATCTTACCACTCAGCACCAAAAGCTTACTCCCACGAACCCGAATACGCACCATCCCCATACAGTTTCGAATACAGCGTACACGACCCACACACCTACGACATCCACAGCCAATACGAACACGGAGACGGACACGGAAACGTGAAAGGATCTTACAGCTTGGTCGAAGCCGACGGAACCAAGAGAATCGTCGACTATACCGCCGACCACTACGGATTCAACGCTGAAGTCAAAAAGGAAGGAACCCCTTCATACGGATCCGGCCCAGCTTACAACAAGCCCTCCNCCCCTTCATACGGATCCGGCCCAGCCTACAACAAGCCCTCTTACTCCGCTCCAGCTTACTCTGCTCACTCCGCTCCAGCCTACAGACCAGCTCCATACAATCATTACTAAGATGTTCAAATTTTCTGCCAAAGAATTTCCTTCATTTTTCTCCTAATGGAGAACTACCATTGTTCTAAAAGTATTTTAAATACTTTATTCGTTGACTGTCATTTATTTAATATTTTTTTTATTAAATAAACGCCATTAAAAATTCATTATTGAACAAGCATTTTTTTTTTTTAATATAATAACTAAATTTTTATTGAAGTTTTATATCTATCAATTTTTTATTATCGTTTCATGTGGTATAGTTGAAAAAAAATCACAACATTTATTATAATATTTATTTGTGTTTCAGTAGTTTATAATAAATATTGAAACTCCAGGTTTGAAAGAACTTTGGGGATATTTTGGAATAAATAAGATATTGTAGAAAATTAAAAATATACTCATGTGTATTTAATATTTAATTAGTTTATTTTGCATTGATAATATCTGCATCCAGAATATCAACATAAGATATTAATATAAACAAGAATTTAACACTTTTTTAAATGATAAATATTTCAAAATTGTTAACTGGGTCTTGATTCTAAGTTTAATTTTATCTGTTTATAGAGAAACGTATAATNATTTCAAAATTGTTAACTGGGTCTTGATTCTAAGTTTAATTTTATCTGTTTATAGAGAAACGTATAATTATTTGAAAAATTGTTTTTCTTATTTCATATTATTTATCATATAATTTTTTCATAATAATTAAAATTATTTTGTGGAAAACAATTTTTATGTTTCCTAAATATTTAAAAAGTCGAACAAGATTTTTTACTACAGATCTCAATCTGATATGTATATAATGAGTTAAAGTAAACTTAATGGATATTTTCCTTAATGTATCGATATAATTATTAAGCATTTAGATACTCTCGCTCATCTATAATATAATATAGGATAAGCCGATGATTGAAAAACGGACGGCCTGCAGAGAATTTAGAAAATCTCATGTCTGCAAAATAACAGTTTAATTATATTATTTTTAATTTTCACTTTTTTTTTTTTATTGTTTTTTTATTGAAAAAAATGTTTTATTCATATTGTTTGAAAAAAAGTACAAATATTTTTTTAATGAATATAAACGGATATACGGTGAAATGTTTTTGAGAACCAAAATAATTTATGTTAAATGATCAGGTTGGCTTATATATTATTACCAATAAAATTAGTAGGGTTATAACATTGGAACCTGTCCAATGTTTGCGAAATTGTTGATTTCTTTAAAAAATATTTAATTGATGAACAAAAAAAAGTCATTTCATGGACCGATTATCATAATGATGTGTGACATGGCATTTATTTTATAAAATAATTTATAAATTATCTTTTAAACTTATCATATCTAACTTAATTATGTCAATATATAACTATTTTTACAAATTATTATTATTTTTCAAATTATACTTTATAACAAAATATACACATTGAAAATTTAGATGCATTTAACATAATATATATTATTATATATTTTTAAGTATTTTATGTATATGCAACAAAATTTGTTTATATGTTTGTTATTTGCCTAAACAACTACCTTGACATTATATTAATTTTTGAAATTGTATTATATGATATAATAATTATACCTGTAATGTTGTTCTTATTAATAACATTATAAAAATACTATAGAGTCTTAGTAATTCATTAGATAAATTACTTAAAAATTATACTTATAACTTAATTATTAAATTTTATAATGTAGGAGATTATACATTGATTTGATAATACAAATGTAATATCGAATTATTTTATAAAGTGTTCAGTAATTAAAGAAAAATGTTTTAATAGTTTGTTACAATTTACTTTTTGAACACTGTATAAATATTTGTACTATTTTTTCCAGTAATAACTTTATTTTGTTTTTGGGTTTCAGGTAAGGATTTTGATCAATTTTGGAGACATGTAATTGGATTTCAGAACAAACGGTAAATATATAACTTAGATTTTTATGTTTGAAGAATTTTAATTTAAAGTCTAGCAAACAATTCAGTTTTTTATTGGTCTTGTAAAAATACTGTAGTTTTAAGCTTATGATTATGTTAAATACATAATTTTAATAGATCTATATGGTGTATGTTAGAGGATAATTTCTTGTATTATGTCGTCATAACAATTGTAGCAATGTACAGGTTATTTTACTAATCATTACTAGGTCAAGACAATATACGTACTTGTACTCATTGAAGTTAAGTGACTATCAAATATAAATCTATTTAAAATAAATAATAGATTATTTGAATAGACCGCACGATTACTGTTGACCATTTATCTCCGTGACTTGTCTATATCAAATTGAATGTGAATTGTAGCTAAGTTCGTTATTCAAGGATATGAAAATAATAATGTTTGCTTTTGTTAAACTCATCTATGAATTCGTTAGATAGTTTTTACAATACTTGGAGTGTTTTAAAAAACAAACATGGTCAAGATTTCTAATAATATAGGTTTACCATATTATTTACTTAAATAGGAACCCAAAAATAATTGGTTTTCAATTTCTTTATAATATTTTATTGTGTTATAAAACTCAATTGATGTAACGAATCATAATCTATAGAGAATAATAATTATGAAATTTTTTATTTAGTGAAAATTATTAAATAGAAAATTGTTTTAATGTATGTGACATTGATAACCGATAGAGAGCCTTAGTCTCAATCAGTTCGCTTTCAATTTCCGTTATTTTGAGTAAACATGAGAAATTCGACCTTAAAAATAAATAGAATTTTTTGCATAAACCAATAAAACAAAAAAATTAAATAAAAATTATTTTTATTGAATTAGAGATTGGAATAGAATAATACAGTCTTTTTAAATTAAATACCAGATAATATTTGTTCAAATCTAATATGAAGCTTAAACATAGGAAGCGCCTTCCTTTTTAACTTGAGCGTTGAAACCGTAGTCGTCAGCTGTGTATTCAACTACCCTCTTAGTGCCATCAGACTCGACTAAACTGTAGAAACCTTTGACAGTTTTTCCGTCGCTGTATTCTGACTGGCTTTTCACATCATAGGTACTAGGATCGTTAACACTGTATTGAAAATTGTAAGGAATCGGTGGATATATTGGTTCTTCATAGTGTTTAGCAGAATAAACGGCCAATGGTACTACTGGTTTATAAGCATATTGGGCCAAAGTAAAAGCAATACAAATTGCGAAGAAAATAATAACCTAGAAAATACACAAAGTAATGTAGAGTCAATATTTGTCATTATTTGTAGTATAATAATAATAATAATTATATTAATTCTAATTGTATAATTACAATTGGAATTACTCAGATTATATTGTTTTTGTAATTAATGAATATTTAGTAATATTTTAAAACATGTATATCAAGGTATATTTTTTTAATTACTGTTTGTTTTCAAGTCCGATTTTTATTATTTATTGATATTTATAAAAGTATTAAAAAAGTTAAAATTAATAATAATTAATGCAAACCTTAGTTGTCATCTTGAAAATATTCATTTAGTAAAAACTGAAATTATCAATGTACTTCATATATTTCTACTGGAATATCAACTGATACTTGTCGTGTCCAATATCAAAGTATTTATATCGATCACTTAAAGGCGTGTTACCCTTTTAGATATTTATTTCTTCATCTACTTGAACCGGTTTTCCATATAGGTATCTTTTGCTATAAATACATAATTATAAGATAAATTAAATAACGTTTTATAATATTTTCTATGAAATAGTATAAGGTTACTATTATGAAATAGCTTAAGTTAAAATTTTGAAAATGACAAATTTTCTATGTTATTTACAAAGAAACAAATGCTTATTAATAAAAAATAGCGATTGTTATTTACATACAGTTCTTGGTTTATCTATTTATTGCCTAACCTTCTTCAATTTTTCAGTAAAATATTAAATATGAATATATCTAACAGGCTGCAGGCATTTTTTAAGATGTATATATTAGGGCCGTGTAATGAAATATAATCTTTCATATCAACATATAGATATGCTACAGATATCATTAATAATAATAAACTTCATCATTACGCCTACTTTCTTAAAATACTTACCCAAGAAGTTAATTTTAATGGTTATATACTATATAAAATGTCTTAAATACAACGATAAATTATAATTGATGAATTGAAAGTTTTGAGATATCCTACTAAAAAATACAAAGTGATAGATTTTGTGTAAAATACTCATTATCTCAGAAACTATTGAAAACATTTTATTTTTATAGAGAGAAAATTATTATTTGGCTCAAAAAATCTACGATATTTCGAAGAGAAAATCATTTTTTTATCTCTCCAGGGATAATGAACTTAAACACTAATATTTTAATAAGGAATACTTGTTTTTAATTTGATAATTTTCTTTTTTTTTTGGCTTTTGCGGTTCATTTAGGTTCATTGTCGCAACAACCACTTGCCTCTACCCATCTATATCTTGAGCTAGTTTTTTAATTTGATAATAGAAAAAAATTAATTTACTAATAATTTTGTTCGTATCATTTTTTTATTCGAGTAATCGGACATCTTTCACAACATGTTAAGCTTAATAATTTATATGAAATTTCATTTTTAAGAAACATAGAAGTTTTTATTTATACATTTTGTCTTATAAACTAAATTTAATGAACTGGGGTGTTAATCAAAATACGGGAATCATACCTTCAATAATACAAAACATATTTCTGCAGTTTACATTATTTAGATAAATCCTATATGGAATATGTGGAATACCACAGGGTTCAGCACAAAAATATACGTCATTCGAGAAACGTACATTTACTTAATTTAAATATAATTATGACGAAAAAGTAGTTCTAACAAAATAACAATAATATTTTCAAATTTCTGAGATTTGCGTATGATATTTAATTAACAGAAATTATGTCATTTTTAATTATCTATTAAGAAAAAATATGACATTTTAATCCTCATAAGGTTATCTATTTAATGATTATAAATTAATAACTGGTATTTAAACAAAAAACATTTATAGTGTAAGTGAAGCTCAATATTTGGTTAATGAAGGTTATTATCAATTTAATAGCATAAAAAAACAGTTTAAAATTATCATAGCAGTCACAAATTTTTCATAGCTTGTTTATAATATTATTAAAGCAAATTTGGGGAGTTTAAACAAATATATACAATTTTTTATATTTTGTACGAATTTTTGTGTGTAGTTATCGTTTTATTACTAATTAGTAATTATTTCAGAAACTATATATTGAAATGATATTTATTTTTATTTTACATTTATAATAATTGGTTTGTTTAAAATTTGCTAACAGAAGAAACAAATTATAGTTTTCTGAGTTTGACAATATTAAAAATTTATACAATTATTCATATTAAAATAAACATATTAATTGTAATGTGCTGTGTAGTATATGAATGAGCTGAGTATTAGTAGTAGACGTTTAAGTTCTGACCTTAATTCCACTTTTTCAGTGATGTAAAATTCATTTTTTTCAGACGCGAATATATTTGACTGCCGTGTACATTTTTTTCACGGTTCTCTAATATTGTTCAATACTGTATCCATTTATGCATCGTGAAATTCATATAGTTTTTTTAATTAAAATTAGAGAGAAGACAAAAAAATGTTTATTAAAACATAATCAATAACTCATTATTACTTCTTATCACTACTCCAATCCATGACAATACTTCACCAGAGCAGTCACCACAAAACGAACTGAAAAGTGCCATGCGATATTGTGCTCACGTTATATATTTACAATAAATACTTAGGTTTCCTTATGTAAATGTACGTTACAATATAATGGAAAAAAATTGGAAAATATATTTGGAATCAACAGCAAAATTTCATATAAGATTCATCTAAATATTGTAAACACAAGAATTTTTTTTTTTTTTAACTAGGTCATTCATGTCTATTATCAATAGCGTAGTTTTATATTTTTCGCAAGTTTACTATTGTAATTCTACTGAACCAACTTAAAGACAATTAAATTTTTTATAGATCACTTAATAGTTTAATTTTTGTAAATAAACTTTTGCGTTATTTACTTGTAAATATTTTACTAATGCTGTAGATTGACTAAATATATAACAGTTATTTAACTATACCAAGTTTTCAATCGTTTCAGGTTGGCCAATTGTAAGTCTACATATTAATGAAATTTTTTTTTTATTCAACCTAACAGAATTGAATAACAGTTGAGATCTTATAACAGTTTTTAAATCGATGATGTATTATTATAGTGTGATCCGTTTAAGATTAACAATTTTATACCTAAGCGGGAGGAAAAGTATGAAATATATAATGGTAACAATAATGACGACTGCCTTCAGTTTATATTTTAAAATGGTAATAATCTCCGAATTACTAATCCAAAAGTGGTTATATGCGAAAATTATTCAATACTAACCGGACTCTTACTTCATTGTAGGGTAAGACTATACCTTTATTAGCTTCGATGCGAAGCTGAGAAGGTATTGGTTTTACTATGATGTGTTTTTTTTTTAATTTTTTAATTTTTTTTTTTTGTGTCTGTTACCACTTTTTCTCAGCTCTCACCGAACGGATTTCTTTCAACGATACGTCAAAAGATCACAAATTGTATCTAGTCGAAGACATTACCCTTCAAAATTGAAAAAATTTCCCTCGTTCCCCGTAAATGGGGGAAACCTCCAAAAAAATTACAAATTTAAAAATCGCTAATTTTCGAAATTTTTTCAATTTTTTTTACTAAAAACTGCCGTAACTTTTTCAAAAATGAACATATCAATATAATTTTTTTTTTTTTATAGATGCTTGATGTCTTTACTTATCATTTGGTATATTTTTTTTGTAAATTTGACCTTTTTGCTGCCCACAAGGGGGGATTTAAAATGACAACTTTTTCAACTTAACTTTTGAAAATAAGACTGGACTNTCGATTTTATTATTTATATTATATTTAACTTTATAATGCTATAACTTATTGAAAAGTTTATGGATCCACACAATTTTTTTATGAGAAATAATATTTTTTAATAAACCTTTTTTCATTCGACATACTTTATCTTAATCGAGATATTAATAAGGAACCAGCAGATCAAGTAGCTTTTGGAATAAAACACCAATTTTTTTTAAATTAAACACTATCTAAAGATTTGCATCGAAGCGTTTATTTTTGATAGTGATTTTAATCACCGTCAGATATCATTATACTTGATCCAACTATGCCACGTCACCACTGTGCCGCGACCCCCCTGTGCTGGTTTTTTTTTATTTTGTTACAATTCACTACTCGTGAATTAGAGTTCCAATCTTAGTATTAATACTTAATTTTTATTTTTTAATAGTTTTTTAGCTTGATATATGTCTATACATAAATAAATAAATAAATATAAATTGTTTATAACTGCTAGATACTACAAGTTTTATGTGACAGGAAAAAAAAGAGCGCACTTTTAACCATGGTTACCCTATTGATAAACTGTATTGAATGCTTTTGTAAATAAATAAATTATACTATTTGTATACATTCAGTTTTTAATAATCTTTTTTCTTTTTTTAATTGTTTTTAGAAAATATCTATTAAGTCTCGATCATTTATTTATTTATTTCATATACATATTTTAATTTGTTTTGCAGTTAATATAACTTTATTCATTTGTTAAAATTAAATGAAATATCGCCATTTACAGATGTTCATATTTTAATTACGCCGTAAAACTTGAATTGTTAATAAAATAAGCTTTAATATGTAACGTTTAAAACAGTTTAACTTTATTTCTTGACAAATGTTCTCTAAAATAGAATTATGATAATGACTACTTTTACGAATACATTGAATTCTTACACCAAAGTGTGTTTTCTCATAGTTCTTTGAAGTATATCGGAATGAATTCGAAACGTGAATGTTACTCACAATGAAATCATTGAATTGTGGTTAAAGGAAGAACTCTTGTTTGAAAGAAAATTCTTTTGAGTAAGATTTCCAACACATTTTAACATAGACATAAATATGTGTTACAATATTCATAAATACTAGTTTATTTTTTATAAGTTTTTGTTCGGGTTTACATCAAAGAGGTGTGTGAGTTCGTTGCTTTTGGGATACCGACCTACGGCTAACTATGTTTAGCAGATTAATGCCCAATGTTTTGAAGATGACTATGACCTCTGTTATGCCGTTCAATGAATACAAACGGTTGACAATAAGAGCGATTGTCTATTGTGTAAACTAATGGAATATTATTATGAATATGGATATGAATGAAAATTAAATATTAAACTATGCTGATATTAAGTAATAATACGTAACAACGTTGAATGTAAGATGTTTCATTGTGATTTGTCACTCTCAACTGCTCATAATTTGCATTTGCACTAATAAAGAAAGATAAACGAATCAGCGCTCATAAATTTAAAGACTATTTTAATAAGTATAACATAATCAATAATGTTAAAATGTCAGAATTTAATTTGGAATTTTCAAGAATGTTTTTACTGAACTGATCACAGTATACAAAATGTATAAATATAAAGTAATTTCTTCTGATTTTACCAAAAACTTGGAGTATTTTTTCACTTAATTTAATAAATATACTTATTCAATTGTACCTTTAGGAAAATTATTTCATTATTATCGAGTGTTGTTTAAAATATTATGGTATAAATTATATTACTCTCAATTAATTAAACATTTTTTTATTAAAACAAAATTTATGTTTTTGATTTCAATATCGAAGTTTTAATAAAATTTGACAAAAAACTAATTTATTTGTTTGATTTTTAAAACATTTTATAGAACTAAATTGATTAATGAAAGTTTTTTTTTTAGAAATTCAAAACACTTTTTTCGTTAAATCATAAGATTTATTTTATTTACATAATAAATACAAATTTAGTTAGATATACCATTAAATTTGTGAATTTAAGGTACAAATTATGGTAATTAGTTAACATTCAATGTGAACGTAATACTGGTCTAGAAAGAAATTGAGAAGATT